AAAATAGAAGAAATGACCAGTAAAATAAATATTGGTCACATAGCTCATTTCCCTACCATCGATCTCTTGCGATTCTTAATTCTTATGTTCTTTATGTTCTGGATTACATTCGAATTTGGCTAACATTTAAGCTTACATTATTCAAAAACGTAATATATGAGAGTTAAACGTATGCATTTCATAAACGTAAAATTAATTAAATTTGATTAGTTGGTTGACCTGCTTTTTAGTTATTATGAAGGTTATTATTTTTTTAATTTAGAATTTCTTTATCCTCAAACTATTATTGTACACCAATCTAGCTTTTTTACTTTTATTTTAGAATCTCTTATCATTAATGTGTATATTATAAAGTCAATTAATATGGGAGCTGGAAGCTTGTGTTCATTCATGATGGTCGGTCGGTCCATATAACAAAATTTAAATTCATGTCTAATGTATTTAGCTGGAAGAAATAAATGATAACTGCTGGTTGATATAAAAAAGAAGAAATAAATGATAACTGAATTTTATTATTTCGCTTTATTTACTGTATTTGGGGAAAGCCAAAGCCATGCATGCCGTTCATAATTATACTGTCGGAAATAGAAAAATTATTTAACAATTTTCAAAGTACGAAAACCAGCTATTCCTTTTTTTTATAGTAGTTTTTTTCTTTTCTATAGCTTTTCAGAAACAATATGTAGTACTATGAGTCTAATTCGTATATATTATTTTATTCCATACATAAATGTATAAAAGATTATTGTTAATAAATAACTGTTGTAAATGACTAAATGTATTATAAAAACATGCCAATAAAATTGTCAAGTAATAAAATAAAGATCAATTTTTTTTCTATGTACTCTATATTAAACTGTTATTAACTTCATAAAGTTATTGATGAAAGTTATTTGAACAAATCGAATTACTATTGTAATTAGAGAGATGAATGTGGAAAAATAATGTATGCACTAAAAAAAGATTTTAAAACTAAATGTGGATATTTTAAAAATCACTTAAGAAAACAAGAGCAACTATGTGTGATTGGTAGCTTTGTTTGACGAGATTGTAAAAAAGAATTTTAGTTTCCTTGTAATTCGTAAAGCTCTTCCAATTACAAATGCTTACCAGAAAAACGGCAAAGCACGCGCCTTTCTTCTCCTATAAAAATGGCTTCTTCTTCTCTCTCTCTTACAAATTTCAATGTAGAAAAAGGTCAAACCTTTTCGAAAACCCCTTTTAATGGATTAAGCTAACTCTCTCTCTCTCTCTCTCTCTGGATTTCAAAAGAAGGTAAAACCTTTGTCAAGACCCTTGTGCTGAAATAAGCTTTCATTTCTCTCTCTTCTAGATTTGTTTTCTGAGATTTCGCGTTGTAAATCTGGAGCCATCCTTTATTTGCGGGTAAGAGAGAGAGAGAGAGAGGAGATTATATACACCTCTCTTTTTTTATTTTTCCTCTTTCCTTAGCTTTGATCCTTAATAGGTAAAGATCAAATCAAGAACGATCTTATATTTCTTTTTATTACACTCATTTGTTTTCACCTACCTCAATCGCTAAATGTTTGAATATTCCGATTGTTTCCAACCTCCGTAATAAGTATTCCCCGATTTTCGATTCTCTGTTTCTTATCAAATAAAAAAGTGGGTTTGATTCAATTTTTTTCTCGGAATTTACTTTTTTCGTGATGCTTTTGATTTTATCAGATGGTTCTGAATCTATGTTTTAGCTGTCAGAAATTCTCGTAGATTGTATAATGTTATTGCTGAGTATGCATAAGACCTGTTTGATCAAATGTCAAAATGGGTTTCTTTGTTTCTTCTTTCATAGATTAATTGTTAGCCAAGAAACCCTAACATAGTTTTCCATGGACTATTCTCTGGATTCAATTGCTTTATTTACGCAAATCCCTGTAAAACTGAACCTGTTTTTGTTTTTTTTTTAATCTCTTGATGAAATAGATTGGATTCTGAGGTTTTCTGTGGATTTCGTAGTATTTCAGAGATCATTTTAACCGGTGTTTATGTGACAACAGAACCTTAAATCCAGACTATAAACATGGCGGATACAATGTCTGCTCATATGGACCGACACAATAAGCTAGGTAAGGAACAAATTTTGTTCAAGATAATTACTCATGAAGCTTTCTGCAATGGAGGAGACACCTTTCAGGAAATATCCTGTTTTTTTTGTAGATCATGAGTGGTCAGAGGATGACAAGAAGACAAAGCTTTGTTCTCTGAAGAAGAAAGCAATCAATGCCTCGAACAAATTCAAACACTCTTTCACCAAGAGAACTCGAAGGAACAGCCGCGTGATGTCTGTCTCAATCGTTGACGACATTGATGTTGAAGAGCTTCAAGCTGTTGACGCTTTCCGTCAAGCTCTTATCTTAGACGAGCTTCTTCCTTCGAAACACGATGATCATCACATGATGCTGAGGTTTTTGAGGGCAAGGAAGTTTGATATTGAGAAAGCAAAGCAAATGTGGAATGATATGATCAATTGGAGGAAAGAGTTTGGTGCTGACACAATCATGGAGGTTAGAAAAAATAGATTATCTTCCTTGTCTCTCCGTTTTCCTTCTCCTTAATTAAAGTCTGTCTCTTTCTTTCTTTCAAAGGACTTTGACTTCAAGGAAATCGACGAAGTCCTCAAGTACTATCCTCAGGGTTACCATGGCGTCGACAAAGACGGAAGGCCTGTTTACATAGAGAGGCTAGGCCAAGTGGATGCCACAAAACTGATGCAAGTCACTACGATCGATAGGTACGTCAAGTACCATGTGAGGGAGTTTGAGAAGACTTTCAATATCAAATTACCGGCTTGTTCCATTGCTGCCAAGAAGCACATTGATCAGAGCACCACGATCTTGGATGTGCAAGGCGTGGTATGCATTTTTAGTCTCTACTTCATTTGTTTACGGTATTCAAATCAAAAAGAAAAAGATAGATTGAGTGAGTGAGTGAGTGAATTTGCTGGTATTTTTCCAGGGGTTGAAGAACTTCAGTAAGGCTGCAAGGGATCTTCTTCAGCGTATCCAGAAGATTGATAGCGATAACTTCCCTGAGGTAACTGTGCTGTTTCTAATGGTTAGTTTTTTTATCGCTATTAACAAAGTCAGCTCTGAGATTGCGTTTGTGTTTATGGATCATATAGACACTGAACCGTATGTTCATTATCAACGCTGGTTCTGGGTTCAGGCTTCTGTGGAGCACTGTGAAATCTTTCCTTGACCCAAAGACCACTGCCAAGATTCACGTACGGTTTTTTTTTTTCTCGTTTTAACACTCCAAAGATCAAAACTCTAAGGTCCTACGATTAACTGGAAAACTTCATGTATAGGTTCTTGGAAACAAATACCAAAGCAAACTGCTTGAGATTATCGACTCCAAGTAAGAGATAAAAGGAGCTCCATGACTCTGAATTTTGTCCACAGATTCATAATATTAAAACTTCTGTTTTTTACTGTTTGTGTGTGTTTAGTGAACTTCCTGAGTTCTTGGGTGGTAACTGCACTTGTGCAGACAAAGGTGGATGTATGCGTTCAGACAAAGGTCCATGGAACGATCCTGACATCTTCAAGGTACTTGTAAGATAATAGAGAATCTTCGAAAACCCGAAACCATGAAAACTGAACAACAGAATCTTACATTGTATACAGATGGTTCAAAACGGAGAAGGAAAGTGCCCAAGGAGGACATTGTCAAACATCGAAGAGAAGACAATCTCAGTATGTGAGAACACAACAAAGGTATAAACCAAAACCCAATAAATTCTTAACCTTTTACATTCGTAGCAAAATTCTAAAGTTTATTTTTGTTTGCTTGAAACAACAACTCAAAGAAATGTGAATCCTTTGCGGTGAGTTTCCTTTCTTTGTCTATAAAGGTTACTTCTTTAGAATACTCTCTCTCTCTCTCTCTTTCTTAGATGTTCTGTTTGATTGATTGAGAATCCAACTTGCAGAAGAACAAATTCGATTCAGAGAACGCAAAATTCACACCTATGATTGACAAAAGTGTGGATACTACATGGCCTACAAATCTCCACAAGAAAAACTTTCCCGAGCCTGAAGGTTACATAACACACAAACATTGATTCTTCTTTTTTACAATTCAAAAGTTTTATCATGGTTTTGAAAATTGATCTATATTATGACTAGTTATTTTTTCATTACACTGTTCATATGACATAATGTGTGTTTTTTGCCGGCGCAGATTTATACTCCGCCGTGAAACCAACGGAGAGGAGAGGAGGAGAAGGTTATTTATTCGGTGGCGTGATGTCGTTGGTTATGGGGTTAATGACAGTGGTGAGGCTAACGAAGAACATGCCGAGGAAGCTCACTGAGGCGGCAGAGAAAGGGCAGACGACGATGATTTCGAGCCAAGAGTATATGTCTATGGTGAAGAGAATGGCGGAACTGGAGGAGAAATGCAGGTCGTTGGACAATCAGCCGCCGGCGTTCTCACCGGAGAAAGAACAGATTCTCACTGCTGCTCTTAGCCGCGTCGACGAGCTTGAGCTTCAGTTGTCTGAGACCAAGAAGGTAACCAGTCTCGTTATACTTCGGATTTACATGTTATTTTACTCTGTAACACGATATTTTACTCTGTAACATATCAGACGCTGGACGAAGCCATGGCTAGGCAGCAAGAGATAGTGGATTACATCGAGAAGAAGAAAAAGAAGAAGAAGGTAAAACAAACAATCACTCTTCTTAAAGATTACACAGACTTAAAAAATTTATGTTTTTATTTGTTTTTGTTTTCAGTTCTTCGGATTCTGAAAGACTTGATGATGCCTCAAGACTAAGAAGAAACCTGGATTATATATAAATCCATATAAAAATAAATAAATATATATATATAGATATATATTCGTGAAGATAAAAATGTGGAGATTTGCTTTCTTGTAAATGTTTTGTTGTTTGCCTCTGAAATCCTGAGAGCTTTTGTTTACCATGCATCATTCATTCACCCCTAATTTGTAACGTTCTAAAACAAAAACAATATAAATGCTGTAATACTATGTAAAAAGTATTGATTATATATAAATGATGATAAATCTATATTATATGTACCCATAGCTCAACAATGTTGAAGAACAAGTGGGTATTCTGCAAAAAAAAAAAAAAAAAAGAAAACAGGGCAAATTGATTTCAGGTTTTGTTACTCTGCAGCCGGTTTCTCAGAGGATTCTTTACTATCTTGGAGCTTGAAAACACGGAAAATGGCTAGATTTGTATCTCCTGCAAAAATCATAACAGAGTGAATGTATTACTATCGATCTTTAATGTTGCGTAGAGATGAACAAAAAAGAAAATTGGGCGTTTACCAAAGGTGATACGGGTTCCGGGGAAGGCAGGAGAGGCAACACCAGGAATTAGACGTTTGTCTTCAATGAATGTACCATTTGTGCTGTTCATGTCCGTTACAAGAAGGTTGTCTCCTTTTGTATCGATTGTGGCATGTACTCCCGATACTGCGTTTTTTTTTTATAAAAAAAGAATACACAACAACTTGAGTGGTTAATCCGGATTAATAATCTACAATAAGAAACAAAACTTTACTCTTTAAGTCTTAATGTACGAAGCAAAAATAAACAGTCTAAAAAACCAAACTTTCCGAAAACAGAACCGAATTCGGATTAGAATGATCCTACATTTTTCCATAACCTAAAGGAAAAAAGATATACTTGATCACAACAACTCGAAACTTGCACTAAAACCAAAACTATATACCAAACTATACATCTAAATTCACTCAGATATACAAATGTATAAAATACACACAAGAACAGAGGAATACCGGTGGCCACGGGAATGACTACGTCAGCCTTTTCTGGTAGCCGCCCGACAGTAACTTGGCCCTGCTCAAAAACCACTTTCAGGAGCTTTTGTAAAAACCCATATCAATCATAACTTTTTGGGTTTTGTATAATTTCTTACCGAAGAGATCTCGAAAGGAGCAGGCATGTCCACTTTGTAACCAATGTGTCTTGTGTCTCCATCTCCTGCAAGTTTACAATATTTCATTCTGAATCAAACATAGACTTCTCAGAAAAAAGCTCATTTGAGTTGAAAATTTGTAGATGCTTTACTCTACCAACTGGTTGGAGAAGCCACCGTTCTCCTCCGGCACCGGAAGTTGGGGATTGATTCTCATCCAAGGAGGCGCGTGTTGTTCTAATCACCGGCGCGTGAGTTCTCGGTTTCTTTTTCGCACTGAAGCTAATACTACTCAGCCGCTCAATCTCTTTCAAGCAATTGACTGAAACTACAGCTCCATTTAGGTTCCTCTTACTCTTTCCGTTTAAACAGAACACTGATGATGATGATGATATTGACAACTTGACCCGAGAGCACATTTGGGATAATGTTATCTCCATTTTTTCTTATGAAAAAACAAAGAGAAAAACTCTAGATGTAGATCATTAAGGTAAAGAAAAACGGAGAAAACGGAAGATGATGTACAGAAAAAAACCAAAAAGAACAAATCTTTCAAGAGATAATCACTTTATGGATCTGTGGCCAACATAAAATGCATCTGGATAACAAAATCTTGATATATGATTTTTTTAAAAAAACAAAAAAAGACAGAATTTTTGATAAATACTTTTTTTTGGTTCTGCATTAACAAGTTTACAAATTTCACATGGCTATAGAATAAACTTACAGATATATAACGCCTTGCTCATTATCACGGAAGGAAAAGTTCTCTCTGTAATTAGCTTTAAACATCAAATTAGATAAAGAGTTTTGTTTTATCTTGCAAATTAAGGACGTGGTGTGAAGGAGAAAGAAAGGTTTTTTTTTTCTTCTTCGTTTTGCTTTTCAAAAGCAAAAAAGATGCTTCTTCTTCTTCTTCATCTTCTGGAATTGAGCTTCTTCTTGACGATCAATGTAAGCAAGCAACTCTTCCTGTCTCATTAGAGCTTCATAAAGCGCTTTCTTAGTAGCTATGAGCTCTGCTTCGAGTGCGTCTACTCTGCAAACGGCTGCGTTCAACAGTTCTTCTTTCTCGTAAGGCATCTCACAAGGCTTTGATTGTAGGGTCCCGATTTTGTCCTCTAGCTCGGTTAGTTTCTTCATCACAGAAGTTAGGAGCTCGGTTTCTGTGAGATCAGGTACTGGAGAAGGAGGACGAGACTCCTCTTGAACTCCTCCACCATTAGAACCGAGCTCTGTTGCGTTTCCTTCGGTTTGTAGTTGGGAAGCAGTGGTTGCTGGAAGTTTCTTGATCACACGGAAAGATACTGTGCGGAAGAATCTGAAAACCGCCATCACGAATGCCATGAACATTACTAGGACTCGAGCTCGGATGCCTTCAGGGTCCTTTGGAACCGAGGGAGACATTAAAGCCCCTGAAGAAGACAGATCATTAGATTAAGTTCACCAAACAAGGATATTGCATCCATTAAGCTCTGTTTTCCCATGTATATATATAAGCCAACTCAAAAACAATCCTAATAAGAAAAGGAATCCTAATGTAAATATAAATCTGATTTCCTCCCAGTATTTGGTGCTAAAAAACCGGAGCCTACTTCTACAAAAAGCATATAACTAACCTTTTGAGGCCACTCTCTGGATGGCAGGTTTCACCTTCCAGGTTGCATCAACGGCTTTGTCAACCATTGGTACATACTCATCATAGCCCGGAAAACTACCAGCCAAGCTCGTTTCACCCGCTATCTTTGCCTGCAAAGAATAAATACTTTTAATAACCACATTTTTGTTTGCATGCAAAATAACAGATACAATTGGAATCTAATAACAGCCATAGATAAACATCTGCACAATCCAGAATCTGAAATGTAATAGGTAATAAACAAAAGTTTACCTCTTCACGAACAGGTGTCAACCGGAGATGAGAGAAACTCTTTATAGCCTTTGGAGACCCGATATCTTCGGCATCAGATCCAGACTCCGCAGTGGAAGTGTCACTTCCCTTTATCTGTATTTATGACAGAGTCAGAGTTTAGCACTCAGCTAAGTTATAGATTGCCTAGTTCTAGAATTCAATAACTACATACCCATGGATATGATGGTTTCGCATAAGCAATGACTTTCCCCTCACTGTTCAAAACTTTCACCACCTGCTTCGCCCGATGTGCTCCCCCATGAAGCACCATCTGAAGAAAAGAAAAAAAAAAGAGAAGATAAACAGCTGCGTCAGCTTCAAAACTGGGACAATGTAAAAGGCAGAAAAGAGATGAGTCAATCAAATGACCTTCACAATTTCCGGGTTTTTCCAAGGTCCCTTGTCAGAAAGCATGCAACCACCTTGATCTGCGCAAGTACATGTACCTCCCAAGAACTCAGGCAACTCGCTGAAAAAAGTAAAGTAACCGTTTTGGACATAAGCAAAAACCCATGCAGCTTCCGCAGAAGAATCAAACAAAAATCCAGAGGAGAAAAAAGTATAAAAAAGTTACGGTTTACATACTTGACATCAATGACTTCAAGCAATTTGCTCTGGTACTTGTATCCGAGTACCTACATTACAACGGAATAGTCCAGATTGAATACCATATTATGGAAAGCAACTCTTCTAATAGAAATATAACCAGATAATTTAGATTATCATACATGAATTTTAGAAGATGTTTTTGGGTCTAGAAAACTCTTAACAGTGTTCCAGAGCAGCCTAAATCCAGGCCCTGCATTGATAATAAACATTTGGTGGAGAGTCTGCAGAAATTAACACAAAGCCGAGATTAGCATATGATCGAATAATCCTTCAATATATCGTAGACACAGAGGATATTAGATGTCTTAGAAGCTCCAACTAAAAATTACCTCAGGATAATTGTCTCCATCAATCTTTTGTAATCGTGTGATAAGCTCCCGAGCTGACTTTGTGAAGTTTTTCAATCCCTGAATACAACAAAAAGGCATGAGAAACAAAAAAAAACTCATCTCACAACGCCCTGGATATCAAATTTTTGAGTAGAAAAATAACATCAAGAAATTGTAGGAAATTACCACTCCCTGAACATCTAGAATAGTTGTGTTCGAATCAATATGCTTCTTTGCAGCAATTGTGCAGGAAGGAAACTTGATCATAAAGCTCCTCTCAAACTCCTTTACATGATACCTTACATACCGATCCATGTTTGTAACTTGCATGAGTCTGTTAGGATCAACTTTCCCCAGCCTTTCAATGTATATAGGCCTGCCTTCTTTGTCAACACCGTGGTAACCGTGTGGGTAATATTTCAAAACTTCATTAATCTCTTCGAAATCAAAATCCTGTTGAGACAAACATAATGATTAAAAAACATGAACTTGTTGAATCCGAAACAAGGGCAAACACAATCTTGAGTTAAAAAGTAGCATACCTGAAGAATGGTATCAGTGCCAAATTCTTTCCTCCACTGAATCATATCAGCCCACATGTGCTTTGCTCTCTCAATGTCAAATTTCCTCGCTTTCAAGAACCTCAGCATCATGTGATAGTCATCGTGTCTATTGGGAAGCAGCTCATCCATTAACAATGCTTGTCGAAACGCATCAACGGCCTGTAGCTCCTCGACATCACGCACATCTTCAATGGAGACAGAACTGACTCGGCCATCACTTTTTCTTCTTCCGCTCTTTTTCTTGAGAGAGTGCTTGAACTTAGTAGATGCATTAATGGCTTTCTTCTTCAAAGAACCAATCCTGGTTCTCCTCTCATCCTCAGAATTCTCAAAGTCTGACTTTCGTTCCTTTCTCTCATCACTGCTCAAGAATCCCTCAAAACCTGTAGTGAAACCTGTTGGATTTGATGAAACTCATAAGCTGTCGTTTGAACTATTTGCATTAGCTCAACGAAACAATATTGAAGAATCTACAAGAACAAAGCAGCAGAGTAGGTGAATTTACATTATCACTACGTCAGCTTTAAAAACCTAAACTTAACACACGACAAAGCAAAAGACACGAAATTTATTGATTCCCATTGTCAATGTCAATCCTCAGATTTATTCCAATTCAGAGTTTAGGCTACAGTAAACCCTAGAAAGAAAATAAGGGGAAACTTCCCAGAAACATCGAATGATCCAAAGAAGATAAACGGAAACAACAGATCAGATCTCTTACATGGTCTTGCGAATCGATCAAGTGGACCTGACATCTTAAATTTCTTCGGCTAAAAAAAACCGAAAAATCTTCGGATTCCTTTGATCTCTCCCAAATCTTCGAGAAGATGGCTGATTTACGAATCAATGCACCAGCGAAAGAAAAGAAAAAAACCTTTTTCCAGCGAATCTATCTACCTCTCACATTAACAAGAAACCCCAGAAAAATCGCTAAAAAAATTAACGAGAGAGAAGATAAACAAATTGAGAGACAAAAATGGATTAGAATCCGGAACGAACTAGGGACTTTCTCAGTTTCTCCTCACCTAAAATGCCTCTACTTTCATTTCTTTAATATTTTTTTTGTTGTATTTGCCCGTTATTAATGAATACCCAAACTGTTACATTCGTTTCCATTTTGGGCCCCATACTTTTTGTCTTTCAATCTTTATCCCCAATTTAAGATTTCATTTTTTCACCCAGTGTTTGTTTGTTTAAAAACTTTTTAAGTAATACTAAATTACTATCATTGTTATATTGATTATATTTTCATAATATGGTGTACTAAAAAAGAAAAAAAAATGAAAATTTCACACTTTTGTATAATAATGTGATATATTATATATCGTCAAAAACTATTTTTTAATAGAAACTGAGGTAAATTTTGTAACCAAAACTAGTTGTAGTACAAATATAAAGAGTAGGCATTTGTGTTGGGTGTGTTTGAATAATATAAAAACTAGGAGAAAGTGCAGAGATATTTGATTTTGTTTTCAACCGAGAAAGATATGACGTTCATTAATAGCCTTAAGTAATAAATTTAACGGATCTACGGACTATAGATCCTGTAAACCAAACCGTAAACCTGGTTTGGTTGACTGACACAGAAAAAAATTAAAAAAGAAATTAAAGTAATTTTGTTTTAAGAAAAAACAAATAATAATTAGCCGACAAAACGACAACAAATTAGGGGTATGAAGAAAAATATTCTTTGCACTATGACCCCACTTAATTTGGATCAATTGGAACCATACCAAAATTATAATTTGGATTCTTCTCAACATCGGCACATAATATTAAATCAAAATCTGTTAGAGTTTTAAGCTAATAATGGGCCTATCAGATAATTTGAATGAAAGAGAACATTTTTTAATTGTCCATCATCAAATTATGATATGTCATTTTTACTTTGAAGTTTTTCCTAAAGTTACTATCATCTTTTTTGAAAAAAACTGTTGAAAAGTTGTATTCTATTATTTTTAAAAAAATTATACGAAAAAGTGTTTGATTTTAATATTGTCCACAGCGTTTTATATGAGCAATTGAGCATAGGTAGAGAGGCTATGGAGGAAATTGTGAATCGTTCATTAATAAGGGGCCAGAGTGAAATTTTACTCCTTACCCCCATACAGTGGGATCCGCATAACACGTGGTAGATTGCGGAGGATTGATCACACAGAATAATCCCATTGTATGTAGTTGGAACAAAATACAATTTTCAAGTACATACGGAGCAATTAAAGGAAGGGTCAACGGTCGTTAAAGGCCTTCCCATTGTATGTAGTTGGAAAATCTATTATTTAATTGCAAGCTTTCACAATCATCAAGAAAGTTTCGAGTTTAACCAAAGTATTAGAAGGTTCACTAATTGATTGATCTAAACCAGCAAGAATATTGACTTTTAAAAAAGTATTGTGCCATGTTTTAGACTTTGTTGATGCAATGATCAATTGAGTCATGATTGGTTAGTACTGTCTGGTAGAATTTTAATCAATCATTGAAAAAATTCAACAAAACAACATTATTACTCAAATCAATAAAACAACTTAAAGAGATTGAGAAATTTAATAGAATAATAATAAGATTATAACTGGATAATAGATATTTTAAGTTTTTTTTTTTTAAACCGGATTTTGTCAAGTAAATCCTAAACACAATCACTCTTATACAAAGCCCAGTAATCGTCATCATCTCCACTGTTGGAACTTTGGTCGTTCTCGGCTTCTGCACCGTCTGATTCCTTACCTTCAGGTTCAGCATCACCAACTTTCTCTGTTTTTTTCCTGCAAAAACTACAAAGTTTAAATAAAAATGATCATTTTCTAGAATGGCTTCTGAGTAATCCAAACCACTTCGCACAAACAAAACCGGGCTTAAAACAAAACCAAAACCAAGCCACGAACAAAACCGGTTTTTTCAGGTTGCATTGGAGAAAACCCAATGCGTGTACGATGAAATGAGTTAAGTACCAACTACTTACATCCTCGGGAACATTATTTGTCTCTGCCTCTGCTTCTGTGGCTCCCTCACCCACAGTTTCGACTTCATCATCTTCATCTTTAGCTTCAGCTTCCTGTGCAGCAGCCTCTTGTTGAAGCTTCTTAATCACGTTTTGGTAATGAGTATGATCTGCAGAGGAGAAAGAAACCAAAATCTGATAAATCATTACAGGTTAAATTTCTTGCCAAAGAAAATAAGTTCAATGGATATATGTAGAGAGAGAGAATATCACGTTTGGAGCGACTTGATAGAGCATCATTAAGATTCAATGGATGCTTTCGTTCTTCCATTTTGTATTTTAGCTTCATCTATTGACGCGACTTGTTAGGAAACAGTTGTTGCAACATCGAGAGATTGCTCCCAAACTCGCGAATTCCCTAAGAGAGATATTTCAGTGATCCTCTTAGTATCACGGAAAACGCAAAACCTCCATTGGTAGAAGCATCAGGGATAAAGGCTCATCAGTTTTTACCTCATAAAACAGTTCGGTGTCTTGTTTTGACCAACGTGATCTGGAAGTCTTGTGCATGAAGCTTTGATAATTAACCGGAGAGTCTGGCTTAACTCTGCTAGTTTCTTGACTTTCTCTGTACTCATCTGAATCGAAGTTCTCTGTGTCATCTTGAGAATACTTGTTGTAAGATCCAAGTTTTGGATGGTGTGTGACACACAAAGATGACGTGGACAGAAGAGCTTTGTGGGAGTGACGTGGCAGTAACTGATTGGACGACTCAAGGAGATTTCGTGAGGAGCAAGCAGGATTGCGATGAAAGGATATTTGGAAGATCTGATACTGAAGAATCATAGAAGATCTCAACAAAAGGAAAGTGTATATTCACTAGCTGTGTAATGCAAAGTGGTATATATACGGGAGTCTAACCTAGGGATTGGGTTAGCACTTTAGAAGAATTATTGAGAGAGTTCACAAGAAAACTAGAGAGAGCATTAGGTTTCTTGGTGAGTGTTCTAAGTGTGTGCAGCACAACTGTTGTTGTGTTATACTTGGGTAGATTAGGAATTGGTCAGTGTCGAGTTGCTTGTTAAGCAAGGTCGTGTAATTCTGATTAGACAGATCTTGAATAGATTGTCTAAGCGATTTCTAATAAAAGGCAAAAGGTTTTTGCAATTCTATTGTGTGCTACACAAGTCTCTGTTTCACCGGTTCTACATTTGGTATCAGAGCGGAACACCTTTAGGCTTAACGCCTTCTTACAGGTGGAGGTCCTAAGACGAAATGGAGACTACTAAGTATATTGCTGTGCGGAAACCACTGCGTCTTGATGCTGGAAACTTTGGTCACTGGAAAGCTCACATGAGGCATGTGATCCGAGGAATTGATGAGGATGCATGGACTGCAGTGGAAGAAGGGTGGACTGCTCCGGTTATTGCTACAGTCGGCGACGATGGAATCACTAAGAACTACCCCAAACCAAAGAACACATGGACAGATGTTGAGAAGAATGCTTCAAAATTCAACTCGAAGGCCATCAATGCTATCTGTGAAGCAGTTGAGCTGGATGAATTCAGTCTGATACAAGGGTGCTCATCTGCTAAGGAAGCATGGGATATATTGGTGAATCATTTTGAGGGAGATACGAGTGTGAAGCGATCGAGACTGGATCATCTGGCTTCTCAATTCGAAAATCTCAGGATGGAAAAGGATGAGTCGATCACTAGTTTCACCACAAAGATCAGCACTCTTGCAAATGAAGCGTTTGTTCTTGGGAAAAAGTACAAAGACAAAAAGCTTGTCAAGAAGCTCCTCCGATGTCTTCCACCTAAGTATGCAGCACAGAAGACAGTGGTAAAGTATTCCATGGATTCAGATGACATGAAGTTTGACACGCTGGTTGGCATGCTCAAGGCCGAAGAATTGGAAGCTACGGCAGATGAAAAGGTCAAACAGAAAGATCTGGCATTTGCAGCTACAACTGAAAATGACAGAGTGAGTCAGATGGAGGAGCAGCTAAGTCTGTTAGCTAAGAACTTCAATAAGATGGTGAAACGGGTAGAGAAAGGACAGAACAAGTCCTCCAGGTTTCAGAAAACTGATTCAGACAGAGGAAACTCTCGCAACTTCCGTTCTGATGGGGATCGAACAGGTAGGAAAAAGGAGATGCAGTGTCATGAGTGCGAAGGTTATGGACATTTCAGAAATGAATGTCCACTAACTAAGCGGAAAGAACTTAAGTGCACTGAATGCAGAGGTTTTGGCCATATGCGAAGTGAATGTCCAAATGGATCCAGATCAAAAGAGAAATCACTCGTGGCTTTGGGTGAGTCTGAGTCTGAAAGTGAAGAGGAAGAAGATGACGAAAATCAAATGCTGAACTTTGTTGCATTTGTGGCGACTGGTGACAAAGACGACAAGGAAGAGATTCAGCAGGTCATGGACTCAGAAAGTGACGATGAGGATGTGGAGTTTGATGCCAAGGTTGAATACCGAAAACTGTATGACAACTGGGTTCAGCTGAGCAAAGATAATCTTCAGCTGATAAAGGATAAGGCAATGATGAAAGCGCAAATTAACATCCTTGAAATGGAGAAAGATCCAGTGGAGGATGTCTTGGAGAAAATTGAGAATCTCAAAGATGAGAAAATCAATTTAGATGCTCTGAAGGCTGAAAAAATCAAGAATCAGGAACTGGAAATTAAACTCGAGAATTTGAGGGAAGTTTGCAGGCTAGAAAAAGATAAGAGCATCAATCTTCAGTCTCAACTAACTGAAAATCATAAAAAGATAAGGATGTTGAACACAGGTGCGGAGAATCTTGATCAAATCCTTTCCATGGGCTTACCTCCCAAGAAGAACTGGGGTCTGGGATATGAAGGTGCTGTTGGGAACAGTGGAACTGCATATGGAAACATGTCTAACTTTGTCCATGGAGGTACATCCCGAAGTGAGCTTGTCCAAGTGGAACCTGAGCCTATTGGAGAAAGCTTGGTACAGGTTAAGGAGAATCATCCTCAAGCGAATCAGACTCAGAAGGCACATCAAGGTACGAATGCCAATCAAGTTCCTGTGAAACGTGCTAAACACACCAAACCATGTTGTTTCTTCTGCAAGAAACCAGGGCACAAAAAATTCAGATGCTACAAGTTCAGGAACAAGATCAGAAGCGCATGGAGACGAAATGTTGCGTATCTGGAGCCTAAGCAATGGGGTAAAGTGTGGATTGACAAGCGCGATCTGTATGGAACACCGTCACCAAGAACAATACCTGCAGAAGTTGTCTTTGATCATGCTCAAGAAGAAGGGGTTGCAGAAGTGGTTTGTAATTCCGCTTCAAAGGAGGCAACAACTGTAGTTGTGTGCAATCTTGCACGAATTCAGTTTGAAGAAACCAACCACATAGCCAATGTGGCCTACACGTCATCTCAAGGACATGTAGGTGATGCTTGGTACTTTGACAGTGGATGTTCAAGACACATGACCGGGAATTGTGACCTGTTTGACACAATCAGCATTGTCAAAGCTGGAAATGTTACATTCGGTGATGGAGGACAAGGAAAAATACAAGGAGTAGGGAACTTGGAGAGAGACGATCAACCCCAACTCTTGAATGTTTTCTATGTCCGCGGTCTCAAAGCAAATCTCATCAGTGTGAGCCAATTGTGTGACGAAGGGCTTAAAGTTATCTTCACCCGTGTGGATTGCAAAGCAGTGGATGAAAATGGAAACATTGTTCTTCTGGGCATCAGGTCAGGGAATAATTGTTACATGTGGAGTCAGTCCGATCAATGTCTTTCAGCAAGAGAATCACACATGGAACTGTGGCACAAGAGACTCGGTCATATGAACACTCATGGACTAAGTCGTCTTGTAAAAGCTGAGGCAATAAGAGGAATACCAGAACTGGGTGCTCCAGGAGATAGTGTGTGTGAAGCATGCAACCGTGGGAAACAGATTAAGGTACAACACAAGGCAGTCTCCGAAAAATCAGGTCAAAGAAAGTTCTCGAACTCATCCATATGGATCTAATGGGTCCTGTTCAGACTGAGAGCATTGGAGGAAGAAGATACATTTTTGTATTGGTTGACGACTTCTCAAGATTTACCTGGGTGAGGTTTCTGCGTGCAAAATCTGAAGCAACCAATAGCTTCAAGATCTTGGCTCTTCAGCTATAAACTGAGAAAGGGAACATTGTGCAAATTAGAAGCGACCATGGAGGGGAGTTCCAGAATGAGCTGTTTGAACAATTCTGCAACAGCCAGGGAATCAGACATCAATACTCTACCCCAAGAACCCCACAGCAGAATGGGGTAGTTGAAAGAAAGAATCGAACTTTGCAAGAGATGGCGAGGGCCATGATGCTGGGTAATAATGTTCCAACTAGATTCTGGGCTGAGGCCATTAATACGGCATGTTACATCATCAATCGAGTCTATGTGAAGCCAGGGACCAAGACTACTCCATATGAAATCTGGAATGGTCGAACACCGAATGTGAACTACTTTCATGTGTTTGGGTGTGTGTGTTACATACTTAATGACAAAGACAATCTGGGAAAGTTTGATTCCAGAAGTGATGTAGGTATGTTCCTTGGTTATTCGACACATAGCAGAGCCTTTCGAGTCTACAATCAACGTACCAGAATGATTTCTGATGCCATCAATGTTGTCTTTGATGACAAAAGCAGTTATTCTGTGGATGAGATTGCCTCTGCTCCATTGTGTGACTCAGAAGTTCATATAGAGGAGAGCCTTATCGAGGACACCAAGGATGAAGTGATTCAAGATGTAGAGGTGGCTGACGAACCTCAAGTCCCAGTTCAGGTTCATAGAAATCACTCTCCAAACGATCTAATTGGTAACCTGGATGAGAGAAGAGTCACACGTGGTAAGAAGATTGATTTCAAAGAGCTGGCAAAATTGGCTTGTTTCATCTCCTTTGTTGAACCAAGTACTGTGATCGAAGCCTTGAATGATGAATTCTGGGTAGCTGCATGTCATGAGGAGTTAGAGCAGTTTGTTCGACTAGATGTCTGGGATCTAGTTCCAAAACCATCCCACGTGAATGTAGTTGGTACTAAATGGATCTTCAAAAATAAAACTGATGAAGATGGGAATGGCATTCGAAACAAGGCAAGACTGGTTGCTCAGGGGTATTCTCAGATAGAGGGAGTTGACTTCGATGAAACATTTGCTCCTGTGGCACGCCTTGAATCCATTCGGTTACTCTTTGGGATCGCATGTAAACTCAAAATCAAGCTCTACCAGATGGATGTGAAGAGTGCCTTTCTCAATGGGATTCTGCAGGAAGAGGTATATGTGGCTCAACCTAAAGGCTTCGAAGATCCACAGTTTCCAAACCATGTATACAAGCTGAAGAGAGCCTTATATGGATTGAAACAGACTCCAAGGGCATGGTATGAGAGACTCACTCAGTTTCTTCTTCATGCTGGATATCTGAGGGGAAGTGTTGATAACACCCTGTTCATTAAAGTTGAGAGGTCTGAGCTTCTGGTGGTTCAAATATATGTTGATGACATCATTTTTGGAGGAACTCACCAAGACCTTGTGGATACCTTTGTCAAAACCATGACAAAGGAGTTTCAAATGAGCATGGTTGGAGAACTGAGCTACTTTCTTGGCCTTCAGGTTAAACAATCCAATGATGAGATTTTTGTGTCTCAAAGCACATATGCTCGGAACCTGGTCAAGAGATTCGAGATGGAGACCTGCAAAGTTGCCAAAACTCCAATGAGTACAACCAGCAAACTGTCAAGAGATGAAGAAGGTGAGAAAGTGAGTGAGAAGCTCTACAGGGCAATGATCGAAAGCCTACTTTATCTGACAGCTAGGCGACCTGATATGTGTCTCAGCGTGGGTCTGTGTGCTCATTACCAAGCATGTCCTCGCCAGTCACACTTGACTGCGGTCAAGCGGATCATCAAATACGTACGAGGTACGCTGGACTATGGTTTGTTTTACACCACTGAGACTAACACAAATCTTGCAGGCTTTTGTGATGCAGATTGGACAGGTTGTCTTGATGATCGGAAGAGCACATCTGGAGGATGTTTCTTTCTGGGTAACAATGTGGTTTCGTGGCACTGTAAAAAACAGAATTGCGTCTCTCTTTCCACAGCAGAGGCGGAATACATTGCACTTGGAAGCTCTTGCACACAACTCTTATGGATGCGACAAATGCTGGCTGACTACGGTATTCAAAATGACCCTTTTCTTGTGCATTGTGATAACAAAAGTGCCATAGATCTGACGAAAAATCCTGTCCAACATTCTCGCACCAAGCATGTAGATATTAGGCATCACTTTGTCAGGGACTTAGTTGAGGAGAAACTTGTCATCATCGAGCATGTAGCATCTGAGCACCAACTTGCGGATATCTTCACAAAACCTCTTGATCTCAATACTTTTCTGTATCTTAGAAAGGCGTTGGGAATCTGTGAACATTAAATTCATATCTGTAGAGGTGATTATCAAGGTGTATGTTTTTTGTACAGTTTTGTCTGTGTTAACACCTCTTGTTGAGTAAGTTCTGTGTCAGGGAATGGTCTGTGTGTAATCCAGGGCGTGTGCAAGGATGATACGTTGCCATGATGAGCGTCACTCATACTGGATTGAGATGCTACCACATTTCAGTCTGGTTATGATCACTGACAAGAATGGTTGAACATGGATATGGGCTGGGTGTCATGTGCTAAGGGGAGTAATTCTATGCCTGTCAAGGGTCGTTTCCAGTAGTGTGTGAATGCGCCTCAACTGAGGGATGGCAGCACAAATGAATAGACAGTAACAACAACTGGGACACAATCCGCTAATGCTTCATGCTCTCTTGCGGAAATAAAAAAAAAAAAAAAAAAAAAAAGGATGTGTGAATGCTCCTTGGCTAAGGGTACGCAGCACATGCACTATGTTAAACACAGTCTTGTCAAAATGTCCTTATTGTTGTCATGGCATAGTACCCCCTGAATCCGATGGCGAAGTGGACACGTGACTCATCTATCTCATACCCATGTTCCACACAAACCTCATTCCATCTGCCATAAACGTCTGGATCGCACCGGGACATCTCCTGCTCAGAATGAGTGAGGTGAAAGCACTTCAGCTGAAGGAATGGCTGCCTCACTTGCTCACGAGTTGATTTCTTGCTTCTTTCCTTCAATCTGCCACCTTTGGTAATCACCTCTCCCTATGTGAGCTGTAAATAAGAGTTTTTTTTCCGCATTAATTCTGCATTTTGGTGTTTAGGTGTTGGTTTGCCTAAGTGATGTTCATGGGTCACTCGATCACAGTTTCTATGTGATGTCCTGTATGTTACTCATGCTTGGGTTTGTATCACTCTGTGGATTTTTTTTGGGCCTCTAGCCCATTGTTATCGGGCTTATCTTGTCTCTGAGTGTGTGTTAGGTCATGCTACGGTTTCCCGCTTGAATATATGCTTTGCTGACGTTTGGTGTGCCATCAAACCCTAACCGTGTGCGACGCAATCCTCTCCAATTTCACACCGTGTCCATCTCTGAGCTCGATCTATGTCTCGCCGTACACGATCTCAAGCCTCCAAGCTGATGGAGTCTGCAATTGCGGCCTCTCGTCGGGAACCTGACGACAATGACACCCTTGCCTCCGCTCTCCGCCGTCAATCTGCCAAGAAGAAGACGAGCAAACGCCATGGCAAGTCTGTCGTCGTCGTGTCTGATGACGAAGACCGCAGCTCCGACTCCAGTCGCTCCTCTCAGCCTCCGCCGCACTTCGAAGATCCTGCAGATTTGTTCTCCAATCCCGTTGCTGAATCTGGTGATGAGGAGATGCTTGATGGGTCTGGTGATGAGCGAGAGGGTCCTCCTAACTCATATGTCGATCTTGAGTCTCGCTATCGCGCTAATCGTGAGACTACGCTGGCTCGCGACCGCATGCAACCCGAGCTCGCTCGTCCTCTTCGATACTCTCGCGACAACTTTGCTTCCGCTGCCGCTCGTGAGAGGTATGATTCCCTCCGGCTTCGCTCGTTTCATGACCAGAAGTTTCTTCCTTTGGATGACTCTCAGCTCGTCGGAGTGCGCCGCCTCTTGGATGCCGTGAAAATGACCTACACGGTTCTGGACGTTGAACCGTATCGGCCTACTGTGGTTCACGAATTCTATGCCAATTTGCCGGATTTGGAGTATCGTAATGGGATTAATCTGGTGTTCATCCGTGGTGAGATGTATGAGTTCACGCCTGATATCATCAATCGGATGTTTCTGTTGGATGAGAATTCTCCGACTGGAGACTGGGATCAGATGAATATTGATGAGGCTGTCCAGGTTGTCTCCGGTGGAAGGAAACATCGGTGGGAAGGGTTTGCGTCCAAACATCTCAAACCAGAGTATGGGGTTCTCTACAAGCTCTGTTGCAGGAATTGGATTCCTTCCTCCAACCATACCACGATGGTAAAGGATCGAGTGAAGTTCGTGGCCTCTCTCATTCGTGGTCATCAGCTCAATTTTGGCCGTCTGGTGTATGATCAGATCGTCGCTATTGCGCGTACTCCGGAGTCGGTGAATCTCAAGCTGATGTTCCCCAACCTCATTCATCAGATGCTGTTGTTTCAACGCATCATTCTTGGACATCGTGGCGATCTACCAATGCAAGGATTTCCTCTACGGATCACCTTGGACAAGAAAGCTGGGAAAGGTTCTGAGGATGAGGGTCCGCCTACTCTTCCCACCTTGGCTGCGGATCTCGATCAACTTGCCCGTTGGATACGCCGCATTCAGCTCCGTCTCAAAGGTAAGTGCTCTTGATTTTCCTTCTTGGTCCTTGCTTTCTCGTTTTTTTTCTCTAAATGTGCATTCAAGCAGGGGGAGAATATGGGACATCGGCCTCGTCATGTGATCATGTTATGGAATCTGACACTGAGGGGGAGCAGCAGGAAGAGGAAGAGGGAGATGATGACGAGTGATTGAGTTATCGTTGTTTTGATGTTGTTGGTTGTTTAGGTTGAATTTTCTGGTTGTTATGTTGGCACCACATGTGTGTGTTTGACTCTTATTTTCTCCTCGTTTTTTTTAAAGAACTTATGGATGAATTTGGAATGACGATGCCTTGCTTTGATCTTATCTTGGATTTGTGTGTATGCTTGGCTATTGCTTGTGTGCGTGCTGTTTTGGTCATGGTTCTTGCAGGGAGCTTGAATTGACACATTCAGACAAAAAGGGGGAGAATGTAAGATCCAAGTTTTGGATGGTGTGTGACACACAAAGATGACGTGGACAGAAGAGCTTTGTGGGAGTGACGTGGCAGTAACTGATTGGACGACTCAAGGAGATTTCGTGAGGAGCAAGCAGGATTGCGATGAAAGGATATTTGGAAGATCTGATACTGAAGAATCATAGAAGATCTCAACAAAAGGAAAGTGTATATTCACTAGCTGTGTAATGCAAAGTGGTATATATACGGGAGTCTAACCTAGGGATTGGGTTAGCACTTTAGAAGAATTATTGAGAGAGTTCACAAGAAAACTAGAGAGAGCATTAGGTTTCTTGGTGAGTGTTCTAAGTGTGTGCAGCACAACTGTTGTTGTGTTATACTTGGGTAGATTAGGAATTGGTCAGTGTCGAGTTGCTTATTAAGCAAAGTCGTGTAATTCTGATTAGACAGATCTTGAATAGATTGTCTAAGCGATTTCTAATAAAAGGCAAAAGGTTTTTGCAATTCTATTGTGTGCTACACAAGTCTCTGTTTCACCGGTTCTACACTTGTTATCAGATGCTTTGCTAGTACTGCATGAAACACTTAAGCAAATGAAATAAAAAATCTAAAACATCGGGTGACTCTCACTTTTTCTTGCAAATACAAACAAGAAAAGCTGAAAAACGAAATGCGTACCTTTCTTGGGTCTGAGATCCTTCTCTTCTTTTTGCTTCCTTTTTCTGCATATGAACAAATAAATATCAATGCCAATACCTATAGCTAGAAAGTTCCATAAGATCTACTTCATATAATATTTCTTGTCTGAATCATTCAGGTCAGGCCCAGTGAATAGTAACAGCAACACATGCAGATAATGTCATCCAAAAATGATAAAAGAGGGTGTCTTACCTCTAACCATTCTTTATAATCAACAAGCCGGAGCAAGTCTTTAATAGGCAAGAATCGGATTTCATCATCAGGGATTTCAAGTAATTCCTTCTCCACAGGTAGATGAAAAGAGAGAGAGAGAGAAAAGCAAAACAGAAATCAACACAATGAAAGAGTCAGTTACAGCATGATACTTAAGTAAGAAGTTGCAGTTACATGTTCTCTTCTGTCGAGGAGTAGAATGCTTGAACTTCTTCTTCTGAGGTTCTTGGCTACATTGATTTGGTTCGTCACTGGTTTTCTTCCGCTTTTGAGCAGCTCTACTTTTCTCTGCTTCAGCTCTCCTTGACTTGCGCACATTTCTTTCTCTTCCAGATTGTTCTTCTGCAATACAACCATTTTCTCCTGCAACTGTGTTGCTACTAGCAGATTCAACCCGGTCCTCGTGTTCCAATCCACGAGAAGAATTTCTGGCAGCCATCTCAGGAACCTAAGGAAAGGATTACAATAACATATATGGCCACTTAACATCCTAAGTGGAAATGTTATCTAAAATATTGTTACCGTTTTTTGAGAAACTTGGGGAAATATTTCTTCATGTAAATCTGCATAAGAGTTAGCATTCATAATGATAGCTTCATCTCTTGGCTCATCCCCATTCACAGTATCACTAGGGCCTGTTGATAAATCAACAATCTCTTCAGTAGAGTGATGAGGCTCACATGCTTCTTTGTTCACACCGTGATTCTGTTCTTCAATCACATTGCCGTGGAGTTTCCGCTTTGGTTTGAGCTTTTCAGTATGTTGGCCTAGACGCAGAGAAAGAGATTACAAGACAGTAAACTACAATATAGATCCAGTTTTAAGCTATCATTCTCTCACATACCATTTGCATTGCTGCCCTCCTGTACAATGTTAAAAGTTTCCATGTCTACAAGTTCTTCTTCTTCCTGAGAGGAGCATAGGTTATTGCAAAATTAGTTCCAGGTCACAGCAAAGAAGACACATCAGTGTCAGAAACTGTAAGTAAATGCTCACACCTCTGGTAGCAACATTTCTGTAGCTTGTGTTATGGGATCATCAAGAAATGCAGGCGTATCACTGGCATCGGTAGAGAGTGTTCGGGATGTAGAAACAGAGGCTTGCTTCCTCAACCGTTGTCTAGGATTTGGCTTAAACTTTGCACCAGCCCTAGCTGTCCACATTTCAGTTAAAAAAAAGTAAACTCATGATCTTATAGTGCTTTAACGATAAAATAAAACCCACCAGCAGTTGCAGCAAGATCCGAGGATTTGTCATCGAAATATATATCCATGAGCCTGTTTATGATTCAACACACTCTCTCAGTCCTTAGAAGAAGCTAAGCTGGCATGACCATTTGATAGAAGACAAAAGGATTGACCACCATTAGCATCTTATTAACAATTAGAACCACGTTGAGAAATTTCTAGATCAATGAGATATGTTTTAAGAGATATCAAAATAGTAATAGTTTGTTACTTAAGTTACTAACCAAATAATCACGGAATCAAGAACACTTTGCAACAAAATCTTGGCAAGAAAAATATTAGAAATTGATCCAGAGCAATGGGTTTCCGATTTTAGTCATTGTGAAACATAATCAAAACATTCTAGCGCAAATTTGTGTTTTGGCTGACTGGTTTTCCAATAAGCACAAAATGAATTAGAAGGCTCTGGTTTCTCATATAGGTATATAAGCAAAGTTATCCTAACAAATTTCAAAAATTTCGGTGAGAAAGAGAATCGCAGACTTCATTTACCTTGAAATCTCGAAAAAATTCAGTGAATCGTAGAATCGTAGTCCCTAGGGTTTACGCTCACAGAAACTAGGGTTCCAACGATCGAGAAGATGAGGGGAGATAGATGGATGCTCTTCTTTAAAGAAAAAATACAGCTTCAACAAAAGCATCTACGGCGTAGTGATTTCTGTCTGTTTTGGAGAGCTCTAGATCCCAGTTCGATTCTCCTGAAACGCCAATCTTTTTTTTTTTTATACCAAATTAAGTCTGTTTAGCGTTTAGATGGCGGTTTGATAAAAAGATTTATATACCCTTTGGTAGAAGCTTCGCCGGCGCAAACATTGAAAAAGCTCAAGCATCAGATTTTCCTCGTAATATCAGAAACCAAAAACACGGTTCAGTAGGAAGATTCTCGGACACGTGTACGGTTCGGACACGGTCACACGTTTCGACTTTCTTCGTAACCGAATCAATGCTTGTCCCTTTTCTTTACAAGGAAACTAGAGAAACAGCACCAAAACCTTCTCTTTTTTTTTTTTTTTTTGTTTACACGTTGTATATATTCTTCTTACTCGTCTTCTTATTAAAGACCAAAATTTTTCTCGACGAGAGATCGATTTGTGCCCCCATTTACAAATCTGCACGACCAGTAAGTTTCTGCCTTTCGCTCTGTTCTTATGTCTAGATTCATGATCTCGCGACTCTGGTTTTCCCAAATTTTGATCCTTAATTCTGGGTTTTTAAATGAAAGATCTGGAATTTCGATGATCGTTGTTTATTCCCGCTAGCCACAAGAGAAATGCCGAAATGGGAAAATAAATCATAAAAACATTTCCGTACACATTTAAACCATTCAAGCGTGTTCTTATAATTGCGATCGAATTTACAAAAACTTCGTCTTGATTTGTGTTTGGTTTCACAAGGTATGGTGAAGGAGAATGAGTATTATGAGATCTTAGGCGTCAAAACTGATGCTTCAGAGGCTGAGATTAAAAAGGCTTACTACTTAAAAGTAAGTCATTTTCCTTTTTAGTTTTTGTTTATCTTATCATCAAATCAAATCAAATCCTTATGTAGTTTGATTTCAATTCAGGCAAGGAAAGTTCATCCAGACAAGAACCCTGGAGATCCTCAAGCTGCTAAAAACTTTCAGGTGAATTAATTAAGAGATGATTAGGTGTTTTTGTCACATTGTTACTGTCTCTTGGGTTTCTCACATTTCTTGAACGGTTGTGTAATGAAAAGGTATTAGGCGAGGCTTATCAGGTTTTGAGCAATCCGGAGAAGCGAGCAGCTTATGACAAATATGGCAAAGAAGGTGTTCAACAGTAAGTGTTTGGTCTCTTTTTAAAAAAAAAAAAAAACTCTGTATCTACCATTTTTAGTTGAGAATGATTTTAATTTTTTTTCTTTTTCAGGGATGCAATGGTTGATCCTGCAGCTGTATTTGGTATGCTATTCGGAAGCGAAGTCTTTGAAGAATACGTTGGGCAGCTTGCACTCGCTTATTTGGCATCTATCGAAGCCGATTTAGAATCATATGAGCCTGAAATCAGAAAGCAAATGCTGCAAGACAAGATCAAGGTACATTAGTTTGCCTCTACATATATATATATATATATATATATTTATAGTTCTGTTTAATGCCTTAGATGTTTGCTTTTCTCTATGTATATAAACGTGGGAAATGTGTGCAGGCTCTGCAGAAGGAGAGGGAAGACAAGCTTGCAGCTACGTTGAAAAACAAACTCGAACCATTTGTGGAAGGAAGAAGCGATGAATTTATCGAATGGGCAAATGAAGAGGCAAAGCGGCTTTCTTCTGCTGGTAAAAAAACCCTCCACAATTTTTCATTTACCTGTAAAAGAAGGTCTTTTGGCTCCTAAGAGACAAGAAAGGTGCAAACTTCATAGAAACCGAAAAGATCTTTTTTTTCATAATTTTTGCTATTGACTGTTCAGGTTTCGGTGAGGCGATGATGCATACAATTGGCTACATTTACACAAGAAAAGCCGCTAAAGAAATCGGGAAAGACAAACGATTTATGAAAGTGCCGTTCTTAGCTGAATGGGTGCGTGACAAAGGCCACCATATGAAATCTCAAGTGATGGCTGCTTCTGGTAAGTAAAAGAAACTGCAGATAACCGGAATCTTTTGGTTTTCTAAACCGAAGATTACTTTGGATGATTTTTGTTTCTCGATGATCTGTATAGGTGCGGTTTCGTTACTTCAGTTACAGGATGAAGTGAACAAGTTAAATGAACACCAAGGAGAGCACAAAGAGGAGCATATTCAGAAAGCCATTGAAGCTAAAATGGATGCTTTGCTTCAATCTCTTTGGCAAATCAATGTTCTCGACATCGAATCCACTCTGTCTCATGTCTGCCAATCTGTAAGATACTAAGATTCATCTTGTACATTACATGAACATCTCTGTAGTAATAAGTAATTAATAACTGTTATTTGTCTTGTCTCTCTCTCTCTCTCACAAACACACAGGTGCTTAAAGATCCAAGTGTTTCGAAGGATGTCCTTCGAGCACGAGCCACAGGACTGAGGAAACTTGGAACGATCTTCCAGGTGAGCAAAAACAAAAGGGTTCGTAACTCAAAACATAACAGAAAAGATCATTGGGTTTTAGATTGAAGATTATTGCTTTGAATCTTGAGCACCAAAATATAAAATTTGAAAAAAACATTGTAATTTTTTGGACTGGGAATCTGTTTTTCTTTTTAAGGGTGCTAAGAAGCCGTACACCAGAGGAAGTAGCTTGCGTCAAGAAAAATCCGCCGTGAAACTGGACACCGGAGGTTCTTCGAAGGCGACGTCTTGAAACTCCGATCACCCGTCATTGGACGCAGCAGAAAACAGACAAACCATAATTTATTTTTTCTTTTTCTTTTGCTATTGGTTGAAAGTTGGATTTGTCCTTTGTTATTATGTTCCTCAGTTTTGTAGAGATTGTTTTTGAAGGTCAAAGTTTTTGTCCTGTGTAGATGATTCATCAATAGATCAACCGAACTTATTAAATCGGAGTTTCTGATGTTTTGGTTGCAATTTTTTTGAGTCTTTTAATTGAAATAAATAAAAATAAAAATGTATGCGACTGATGTGAAGAAAAATACAAAGGCATTATATCCAAACTGAACACTCAAATTTCACTGTTTCTGTTAGATTGCATCATGTTTTTGATATTTATATGTAATGGTTGTAATTTATAAATTGATTCACACCTTGTAAACTCTGTATTGAGCTTGCCGGGTTAAAATAATAATTGTTCAGAACACTAGTGCTTATTACTGTTGTGAAAACTTAGAAACTTTATTAATTACTGGAATGTATATATAGAGTACATAGGGAATCTAGGTTAAGTACAATGCCCTGATGGGTTTAATGGGCCGGTATAAGAGTCCATATATGATATGTGTTATAACACTCCCCCTTGGACGAGTGAACCGGGTCAGCTACTCAATCGGGATTTCGATAATACGCTGGGGAATGTTGCCTCATTAAAACCTTACCAGGAAAAACCCAGTGGGACAAAACCATGGTGAAGGAAAAAGAGTACAACACACATTACTCCCCCTGATTGTAGCATCACTGCAGATCTCTAAGTCTATACATTCCTATCTGTTTGACGAGCTTCCGGTGTGTTGAAGTAGGCAATGATTTGGTGAAGAGATCAGCTGAATTCTCACTGGATCGGACCTGCTGAACGCTGAGAGTGCCGTCCTTCTGCCAGTCTGAGGTTGAGAAGAACTTCGGTAGAATGTGCTTCGTCCGATCTCCTTTGATATATCCTTCCTTGAGCTGAGCTATGCATGCCGCGTTGTCTTCATACATCACCGTGGGCTGTGTGTCTTCGTCCATACCACAATCTCTGCGGATGTGCTGAGTCATGGAGCGCAGCCAGACGCATTCCCTACTAGCCTCATGAATGGCTAGGATTTCAGCATGGTTTGATGAAGTGGCAGTGAGTGTCTGCTTCATTGATCTCCAAGAGATGGCTGTTCCTCCATGCGTAAAAACGTAGCCAGTTTGAGACTTGGCAGTGTGCGGATCTGATAGATATCCTGCATCGGCGAAGCCGACTAACCCATCTTTATTTTGGTTAGTATAGAAGAGTCCTAAGTCTTGAGTACCTCGAAGGTATCTTAGGAGATGTTTTATACCGTTCCAGTGCCTCTGAGTTGGAGATGAACTATATCGAGCGAGGAGGTTCACGGCGAAACATATGTCTGGTCTAGTGTGACTAGCCAGATACATTAACGCTCCTACAGCACTGAGGTATGGCTTTTCAGGACCAAGGATTTCTTCATCATCCTTTTTGGGACCAAGAGGGTCATCACTTAAGCTTCTAACTACCATTGGGCTGGTCAATGTGTGAGCTTGGTCCATATTAAATCGCTTGAGTACCTTTTCGATATAAGCCGATTGATGCACAAGGATTCCTCCTTTGATGTACTCAAGTTGTAATCCCAAACAGTACTTTGTTTTGCCTAGGTCTTTCATTTCGAATTCTGCTTTTAAGCAGTCGACTGTTTGGGAGATCTCACCAGATGTTCCGAGGATGTTTAGATCATCCACGTATACTGCTATGATTACAAATCCTTTGTTTGAGTACTTCTTGATGAAGATGCATGGACTGATGGGGTCATTTTTGTAGCCTTCTTTGATGAGGTAATCGCTGAGGCGGTTGTACCACATACGCCCACTTTGTTTCAGTCCATACAAGGATTTGTTCAGCCTGATGCAGTATTGATCTCGAGATGCATTTTTGTCTTTTAGTTCAATGCCATCTGGGAGTCTCATATATATTTCGTTGTCCAGGGGCCCATAGAGATATGCGGTTACAACATCCATTAACCGCAGATCAAGATTTTCTCTTATGGCCAGACTTATGAGGAATCGGAATGTTGTTGCATCCACCACTGGAGAATAAGTCTCCTCATAATCGATTCCGGGTCTCTGTGAGAATCCTTGTGCTACAAGCCGTGCTTTGTATCGAACGACTTCACCGAGTTCGTTCCTTTTGCGCACAAAGACCCATTTGTGGCCCACTGGCTTGATGTGTGATGGGGTCCGGATGATCGGACCGAACACGTTTCTGAGTTTGAGACTCTTTAACTCCACGTTTATGGCTTCTTTCCATTTTAGCCAATCTGTTCGATGTGTACACTGTGTTATTGATGTGGGTTCTAGATCCTCTTGCGTGAGCGCAACATCAAGTGCTACTTTGTATGCAAAGAGTGCATTTAAGTCGACTTCTTTTCGATTCCATTGTATTCCGGACATATTGTAATTGATGGAGATCTCATTGTTATCTTCTGAACCTGGAGATTCGGCGTCCCGAACTTCCATTGAGGGTTCATTAGATTGAGTCTCAGCCGCGGCTATGTCTGATATTGCAGGAATCCCGGTTTCGGTTATTGCACCTTTCTTTGATTTCCGGGGATTCTTATCTTTGGAACCGAGAGGTCTGCCCCGTTTGAGACGTGGTGCAGACTCTGTAGCAACTTGGGTCTGTCCCGTTGGGACAGCTATTCGTACTGGTGCATTACAAGCTGGGATGTACGATTTGGTTACTTTGGTCGGGTCAGCAAAGGAATCTGGCAATTGATTAGCTAGCTTTTGATAATGAATAATCTTTTGGATCTCTGAATCACATTCTAGAGTCCGAGGATCTTGCCAATTTAATGATGTTTGATTCCATGAAAGATCTTTGACCAGCTTGTTTGTCTCACCACCTAAAGAGGGATATACCGATTCATCGAATTGGCAATCCGCATATCTGGCCTTGAAGAGATCTCCAGTGGTTGGCTCGAGATATCTTATGATGGTGGGAGAGTCAAAACCAACATATATTCCCATCCTTCTTTGAGGTCCCATTTTGGTTCGATGTGGTGGAGCAATGGGTACATATACTGAACACCCAAATGTTTTGAGATGGGAGATGTCTGGCTCATGACCCGAGAGTAGTTGGGATGGGGAATATTTGTGTTCACTAGATGGCCGGATGCGTATGAGTTCAGCAGCATGTAATACTGCATGTCCCCATGCTGAGGCCGGGAGCTTTGATCTCATGAGTAATGGTCGAGCTATCCATTGAATGCGTTTAATGAATGATTCAGCCAATCCATTTTGAGTATGGACATGTGCTACAGGATGTTCCACGGTTACCCCCATGGCCATACAGTAGTCATTAAATGCTTGTGAGGTAAATTCACCAGCATTGTCAAGGCGGATAGTCTTTAGTGGGAAGTCAGGGAAATGGGCCCGCAATTTTATGATTTGGGCCAAGAACCTAGCGAAGACTTGGTTCCGAGAGGACAAGAGACAAACATATGACCAACGGGTCGATGCGTCTATAAGGACCATGAAGTACCGGAATGGTCCGGAAGATGGATGTATAGGTCCACAGATATCGCCCTGGATTCTTTCTAGGAAATGAAGTGTTTGTTTAGAGATTTTAACTGGTGAAGGCCGAGTGATCAATTTGCCTTGAGAACAAGCTGTGCACATGAGGTGTTGAGGATAAGCTCGGTTTTCTTTGAGGGTATGCCCTTGAGAGTTTTGAATTAGTTTACGCATCATATTTGCACCGGGATGACCGAGCCGGTCCTGCCAAATAGTATAATCAGTAAACCGGGCTTTGAGAGTGGTATTAGCTTCAATCATACTGACTTTAGCATGGTAAAGTCCAGTAGAGAGCGCGGGTATGGTTTCGAGGATTTGTTTATGGCCGTCTACGGTTTTAGTGACTAGGAGGGATTCTTTGTTCCCTTGACCTTGGGTTTCTATGTGGAAACCATTCTGTCTTATATCCTTGAAGCTCAGAAGATTTCTCTTCGAACTAGGAGAATATAGAGCATCTGGTATTTCAAGTTGTGTGCCATTTGATAGCAACACATAGGCATGGCCATATCCTTCGATAAGGTTTGAGGGACCCGCGATGGTGCTAATATTTGCGGTTTGATAGGTTAGGTTTATGAAGTAACTTTTGTTTCTTAAGATAGTGTGGCTGGATCCACTATCTACGACTATGGTTTCCATTTGCTGGTGTGCTTCATTATGAATAGAAGATAGAATCCAGTATTGAGGAATTCAGAAAATGTGATAAATCATAAAGTAAAGCATTGTCTGAGAATAAAGGCAAATGGAAAAAAAAAATGAAACAAATCCCAAAATGAAAAATAAAGAACAAAATCAAATTGTATCAGAGTTTCAGATGATTGAATTAATCGAGGAGATCAGCTGTTTCATAGTCCATGGGGTCGGTCTGCTCGTTTGTGGTGTTCTCATCATCAAGGAGGTCGTCACCTTCCAGGTTAGCAGCATCGACTGGCTGAGTCATGTTGGCTTCAGCAGGAGCTTTTCCGTACTTCTGGTATAGATCGCAGTGGATCTTGGGGGTGCGACATTGCTTTGTTGGGTGGTTGAACATCCCACATCTGGTACAAGCAGAGTGATCGGGGTTGGTGTGGCGGGTCGGCTTGGTGATGCCTCGACCACGACCAGGACCATAACTGAGGTTAGGTCGGTTGCCACGACCATGTCCGCGTCCACGTCTTCCACGTCCATGTCCTCGGCCATTACCACGTCCATTACCACGTCCACGGCGGTGATCTGAGGATCTATCGGGTTGAACATGGTAGGACTCTTGACGAGAAGCTGGGACAGGAGCCGATCCCGGGGGCCTCATAGCGCTGTTCCTCATAAGCAGCTGGTTATTCTTCTCAGCGAGGAGAAGACAGGACAACAAGTCTTCGTACAATGTGTGTTTCATTGCACGGTATTGTTGTTGGAGCACAACATTCTCTGTGCTGAATGTGGATAATGTTTTCTCGAGGAGATCATTATCTGTCACATCCTCGCCACAGAGTTTCCGGATGGCAACAATACGAAAGAGTTCGTTGTTGTAATCATCTACGGATTTGTAGTCCTGGAACCGAAGGTTCTTCCAGTCGAAATCTGCCTGAGGCAACTGGACCATTTTCTGATGGTCATATCGCTTTTTCAGCGCTTGCCACAATTCAAGTGGATTCTCAAGAGTGAGATATTGCTGCTTAAGGCTCGGGGCCAGATGATGGCGTATGTGACATATCGCCTGAGACTGTCCCTTACGGGATGCGGTGTTACCGTCGGTAATACACGCATCGAGTTCTTTCGATGCAAGGAACAAGCGCATGTCTAGGACCCACTCGAGGTAGTTATCCCCGGAGACGTGAAGGGCCTCGAATTCACATTTCTGAATGTTTGACATCTGAAACATGAGATTGATTTTGTTAGGGATTGTTTTGAGAAAATTTTGAATGCTGATGATGAAACTTTCTATTTTGAGAATATTTATATTTTAGGAAAGTTTCTAAATTTGGAAAGTTTCTAATTTGGGTAATTTTCTAAATGAGGAAAGTTTCTATGCCGGGAAAATTTCTATATGAGGAAAGTTTTTATATGAGGAAACTTTCTATTAGAGGGAACTTTCTCGGAAATAGTAAATTTTAAAAGGGTATGGTTTTAGTTACCCCGAACATGATGTCGGTTTAATAGCTGTGATTTAATCGGTTAAAGCCGAATATAATTTCGGTTAATGAGAACCAGGTTTAGCCGGTTTTAGGCGGTTTAGGAGGAACCCTAGGGGAGCCGAATATGATTAGGGTTTTATCTAGGGTTTTAACGGTTTGGAAAACATATTTTGGATGTGATTTCGAGATCTATAGGATCTGTGGTCGATGATTTTAATAATTTCACAAGGACAACAAAGAAATCACGTGAAAAGGACTAGGGTTTAAGCATTATGACTTACGATTTTGAAAATTACAAAATCGTGAATCAAGCTTAGGATTTAGGGTTGATTTTCTTAGTTTATTCAATCAAGTGTTTCAAGCAAGAGAATCAACAATCAAATAAGCTGCAACAAGCTTATTAAACATGAAGAAAATCGAATAGGTTTATGCCATAAACATGGCCAAAAACGGTTGTTAGGTTTTTGTAGATTAGGGTTTTATAAAACGAGTTTAAAACCTTTGAACATGCATAAACTTGTAATTTAAACAATCAATCAACAAGTTATCAATCAATCATCAGAGTATCAAACACTTTCAATCAATTAGAGATCGATTTTTTTTTTTATAGGGTTTTGAAGTGTTTAAACAACAGGTTCTATGGCTCTCAGTTTTAGAAGATACCTTTTCCACCTTTGGATTTCTGACAGGCTAATGAAACTGGGAGCTAATAGACCTCAGTTAGCCGCTACAAATTCCAAGGATTGATCACCAAAACTGGAGAAGCTGCTGGTTGAAGAAGGAAAACTCGGATCTGGTTTTTGTTTTTTTTGGTTGATCGTCGTGTACTGTAAGTGTGCGTGAGGGCGCGTCCGACGTTGGATCGACAAACGGTTTTCACGCTTCGAGTTAGCGAAGCGCTGTAGTAGCGCCGAAGCCCTATGTGCTATAATGCTGAGCCAAGGACACTCCGCCTTATCTATAGAAGCAGTCAACTGAGTTCTGAACGAATTAGATCCTTGGTAATGGCTCAATCTATAGATAGAAAGCCCTATGATGGGAAACTACCACGTTAGGTTTGGAGAGAGATGGGACCGGTTATATAATAGAGGGAGCAGATGCAAGCTTTTTTCAGTAGATTTGTCTCGTCGAGGGCTTCGATTTGATATGTAGATCGTCTTCTGGTTCCTCACGGTTTGGAAGATATGCGTCTTTTAAGTTTCGACTTGCTTTTAGGGTTTTGGTGGTGGCCGAATTTATTAGGGTTTTTCGCTCAGAGAGTCTTATCGTGCTGATAACATGTTGTGAAAACTTAGAAACTTTATTAATCACTGGAATGTATATATAGAGTACATAGGGAATCTAGGTTAAGTACAATGCCCTGATGGGCCTAATGGGCCGGTATAAGAGTCCATATATGATATGTGTTATAACAATTATAATTTATTTGTTTCTTAAAGTATACTATATTACGCGTGTTTGTTTCGCGTCGTATTCACTTGGATATTTTGGCGTTGGCCAAACAAAGCTCCAAGCGTGTACTGTATAACATAACATGCAGATAAGTTCCAAAGATTCCCTATTTTAATCCTTCCAAAGATATTAAGTTTTCATTTGGCACCCCAACTTTACTTTTATATGTATAACTTCCATTTAACGACGTCACTTCGTATATATTGACTGTCAATTATTCGCTTTTTTTTTGTCACAATGACGTGACACCGTTCCCCGTACGTCACTTAATTCCGCTTAAACTAACGGTGTCACGTCGGCAGAGCAATAAGTCAAACCGTCATGTTTCTTCGGTTCTATTAAACCGAAGACCAATCAATCGGTTCATTTACTAATCCAACATCTAAAGAATATATTTATTCAGGTGAACGAGTTTAATACATTGAAATTTTTATGAAATACAGTATTTCTAGTTTTATTTAAAACAAAATTTTTAACATAACATATTCTCAAACTTTTAATTTGGTACGGTTTTGGGATCCTTAACCGGTACACACCAATCGGATAATAACGGCGTTAATTAAAACCGTCAGAAAAGACTCGTACTCGTCTCTTTCGCTCTCTCTCTCTCTCTATCTAGGAAAGGAGGAACAAAGCAAAGTGCTAATTACTCGTTTTCCATTCTCACTCCACAAAATCCACCGCTCTCTCTCGCTCTCCCTATGTGAAGCCGTCTTTGATTTATCTTTCCGGCGACGTTTTTCGACTTCCGAGAGCAGGTTCGGTGTTCGTAACTCTCGTCACATCTGCTCAATTGCTGTTTCTACTGTAATCTTCTAGATTTTTGAGTGTTGGTGCCGATATTAGGGTTTTTGTTTCTATTTTGGAATTTACAACCTGGCTTGTTGGTTACTTGGCCATATTCTCGGATCTGGTTAGTGTTAGTTATGCGACCCTATGATTCAATTGCTATTTTTGGTGTCCTGAGAAAAATTCTCTTATTTGGATTTTTCTTAGTGAAGATAGTCGTGAAAAAGTTCACTGACTAGTGGGCAGCAAAATTGTTTGATTTGATTCTCTCTCTTATTTGATCCCAAACCTTGTATTGATAGTTGTTAGTTTTCCATGGCTGCTACTTCGAACTTCCTTTCTTTTCGCCATGGCAAATCGCCAGTTTAAGTTATTGCGTAGATAATTGGTAAGCTCTCGTAGCTCTTATCGATGGTGTTGAATGCAAGTAACCTTCGTTAGTTACTCCCTTTGGGTTATTATGGACTTATAGTGATTCTGATTGAGTTTCTGAAATATTTGATTTTTTGTCTCTTAAAGGTTTTTGAGGTGTTCTACTGTGGTTTCATGCGCCAAAAGATCTAACCGGAGTGTCTTTGTGCGGTGCTTAGTTAGTAGTTATGGGGAATGCTTGTTGTGTTGCTTCTCGAGACAAAATGGTAGAGCCTAATACATCAGCAGTCGAGAATTTGCAAAGAAACAATGCGAGGTATTCTCCAAATTGGAGTTTTCGGTGGGATAATAGAAGGCGAGTGGCCGGAGAAGATACGTCTCTAAGTTGGTTATCTGATGGGATTAGTCGTAACGATGGGTCTGATGTCAAATCCGAATCTGCATTTGTATCATCAGAAGGTTCCCCTCTGAACAATTTCCAGACCCTGTCGTGGCACAAGTCTCCTGCTTCGGGTAAAAAAAAATCTCAGCCTTTTTAGATATATTATTTCTATGCAGCAAATTTTTGTTGCTTACTGGCAAAACCTGTTTAATCTGTCAGAAACTGTAGAGTAGAGAGAAAAATGTGTACCTTTGTTGTGACCCGCTTGGAACTTAGGACTACTTTTCTATTGAACCTGTTCATGAGAAGACATTGATATGTTTGTTGACATAAATTGTTTTTCTTGTTTGCTTCTTGGTTTGTTTTTTATTGATATCCGTCCATCTTGACCTTTAAAACTATGACTTTTCCATGCTATTACATCACGTTTTGGTTGTGGCAGATCAATCTTTTTCAGGAATTGCATCCATTGACACCGTCTCTGAACAGGTAAAAAGCTCGTTTCACTGCTATCTATATATCTGCCATGTATCCTCTGTTAATATAACCTCTATTTTACTTACGTAGATCGCCCAGAACCCTGCTTCTTATCGATCTCCTGCAAAACGGTCTCTGTCATTGGCTTCTCAACCATCATCCTTCTCGACATCACCACTATCGTCCCATAGCCACTTGCCAATGCCACTTGCAAGTTCATCGACACTGAAGTTGACACCACGCGCTCGTCTATCAAAGCAAGTCTCAGATGGTCAAATATTTGGATTTACATCACCGAGCAGAAGCTCAGCAACTGAAGAGAGGCTGGGAAATGAATCTCATTCTGGGCCATCTGACGGTTGGTCCATGCAAGCCTTCTCCGAAATGATGGCTTATTCTCGCAGAGAGTCTTGCTCTTATGACAACGAATGCTTAGGGCTTCGACGTGACAAGATAGACCATCTAGGAAACCGAAAGTCCAATGATCAGCCAACCTGTGGTGCTTGCTCTAGATCCTTGGCTCAGAAATCGTTGTTGAGTAGCCAAAAGATCTTTGCCACTAACGAGCTCTCTGTTGCTGCGATTCTGGCTTGTGGGCATGCCTATCATTCTGAATGTTTAGAACAGATGACACCTGAAATTGACAAATTCGACCCTCCATGTCCCGTCTGCACATTGGGTGAGAAAAAAACACTCAAGCTGTCGGAGAAAGCATTAAGGGCAGATTTGGATTTGAGAGCTAAACACAACAAGAGACTAAGAAACCGGGTTGTGGACAGCGATGACTTTGTCATGTTTGATCACAGCCACAAGGCAGGAGCAGCAGTAGCAAGCGGTACTGGACACAAAGGTAAAGTCCCGAAGCTGGTGTCGAGTTCAAGCTTAAGAAGTTATTCCCCAAAGCCATTTCTTGCACGACACTTCTCTTTCGGGTCCAGAAGCAATAGTCTTAAATCCCCGAAAGAGAACCATTCTGCCGTCTCTTTAAGGAAGAAAGGCTTCTTTTGGACCAAATTTACCAAAGTTTGAAACTGTAAGCATCTCTCTCTCTTTCTACAAGCATCATTTATGATAAAGTCATATGTTAAATCTTATGATTCTTGAATCCTGTTTCAGATTCGCAGCTAGGGCCGAAGTCAACGTTGCGGATACTTACCAACTTTACACATCTCTTTGTGTATGTTATAGAATGTCTCACAAGTCTTCTACAAAATCTTTCTTCTTTGACGTAAAAAAAAAAAAAGAAACTTTCTTTCTTTTTCCTTTTTTTTTGTTTGTGCACTCCCAAATTTTCACACTTGTAAATATAATAATTTTAATGTATAAGGAAAAATGGATCTGGCTTTCGAGGCTGTACATTGGGTTTATTGAATCGATGGGTTTTGCTCTCCATTTCCGTTTTTTCTTTTTGAGAAACGAATGCTTTAATACTTCTAGTCTTCTACAAACTGTTCTTTGAATTTATGAATATATTTTAATAGAATCTTTTTATACTACAATGTAGACGTCCAATTAATCTATACAAATGTTTCAATTAATTACCAATCCTAACAGTACTTAATAAAAACCAATAAATAACCAAAAAAAATTGTAACAAAAAGAATTAGGGAATTTTATAATAACAATCTTTGTAGTAAGAACTGTTTAAACAATTTTGATGTTGAAAAAATAAGATTTCAGAGCGATTCTAAAGCGCTGATCAAGTTGTTTGAGAATTTTCAAGAATGGTGGAGAGTACACTCAATCACAACGAATATAGCTTCGGTCTATCTATTTTATTATTATTTTTTTTTGTAAAGACGACAAACTAACCAATGATCTGATGTAATCTATTTTCCAAGCTATATTGGATAATAGTATTTCCATGTGGCTAGGACCAAATAACCAATGGTAGACATGGAGAAACAAACTCTCTGCACTCGGTAATAATACTAAAGATGGTTTGTTGAGAAATTATAATAATATGAAGAACGATTCATCAAATAGATTGCATTATGATCCAAGGTTCGTTTGTTTAATATGCTTTTTGCACCACCAAGCTTGTAACCTTTGGACTTAAACGCATCAAGATATTATAACTCCGAACACCGACCAAGTTATATGTTTGTAGCGGTTCCACGTCCTTGATCAAATCCAATACATCTGTCCACATGCATATAACGTACAAAACACCGTAGATGATAACGTTGTTCTATCGAATATATCAAAAAGAAAAACGTTATTATTATGTCGGATTCGTGACGTATTCGTATCAAAAGCACACACATAACACGTGGTACTCCTTACCTATCCATGCGTGGCAAAACAATTCACATAAACTCGGCACGTCTCATAACCATGCAGATGAACATGTTACAATATATATACACACACTTGTTCGACCGGAAACGTATAGTCTTTTCTAAGAAGCATTTGAGAGAATATATTATCACTCGATCAAAAGCATAGAAGAAACAAAAGGAATATAATAAGAAGGGTTGCTTACAATGGCGGATTTGAAGGACGAACGAGGAAACCCAATCCATCTAACCGATGAACATGGGAATCCGGTACAGCTCACTGATGAGTTCGGTAACCCGGTGCACCTAACCGGAGTCGCCAGCTCTACTCCTCATCCTCATTACAAAGAGAGTATTACCGGCGACGTCATTGCGGAACACCCAACGTCCGCGGCAGGGGTCACCGGTGCAACTGTCACCGGTGCAACTGCCGCCACAGCAGCAGGTACTGGTGCCATTGCCACGGAGCAGCAACACCATGGCTCGCTTGGAGAGCAACTTAGGCGGTCCGGAAGTTCATCCAGCTCTAGCTCGGTGAGATTCTCATGCATGTATAGATTGATGAGATTGGTTTCTTGCATAATTTGACAGAGTTATATATATATATTTTTTTGAAAGGAACAAAGTTTCCTAAATATCGAAAGCGAGTTTTTAAAATGTTTTGTATGTATTAGAACCCTTGTATTGAAAATTTTCTAAGATTATGTAAAAATGTTTCTGTATCTTGTAGAAGGTTTCGATCATTAACGTTCAATAATCTGTATGTAATATTTACGTAAAAGTTAACGAGAATATGATGATTTTGAAATAGGAGGACGATGGACAAGGAGGGAGGAGAAAGAAGACAATAAAAGAGAAAATCAAAGAGAAGTTCAGCAGCGGCAAGCACAAGGACGACCAAACACCCACCACCGCCACAACCACCGGACCCACTGGAGCGGCGGCTGAACAACCGCATGAGAAGAAGGGTCTTCTTGAGAAGATCAAGGATAAACTTCCCGGCCACCACAACCACCACAACCACCCATGAAACACTCTATATATTTAGACGAATCACTTCACATTGTCTTTGTATATAACAGCGTTAAGTTTGGTCGTTTCAGTTTCATGAATAAGTCGCTAGCTCGCTTGAATTTCATTAGGGCTTTTATATCAATTATGTCGTCTACTTAAATGTTTTATTCGCTTCTAGTTAATTTGATGGGTTTTCAGTTTGTGTGAATGTGAGCGTCGTTTTTGATCAATGTTCTCTTTTTACTTACTAAAAAGAAAAGTCGAATTTCTTTTAAATATACTTGCACCATTAAAAACTTTATATTTAAAATAGGTGCTGATTAGAAACAAAATTAACAAAAAGGGTTGCATTCATTCAGTTATACATGTCAACCGAATGGATTAAATTAGCGTGGGTTGCAGTGATCCGACCAAACCAAAACCGAGAATTCGCTGGTTCCATTGTACGAACCGAGAATCAGCCGGTTATATTTAAACCTTGTATGAAACAATAAAATCAACCTTGATTAAACGGTTTGAAAATCTTGTCTGAACACAAAATCACAATCCCTACAGCAAGCAACTACATTTGGTTATATCTAAACCGAAGGGAGTGTGGCTAGTTATCGGACCGAACCGAGAATCAACCGGTTCATAGCGTCTAAGATCGAAAATACCGATTAGCCAGAATATGAAAATCTTGCCGTCGTCATCGTTTCTCGTCTCCTTGGGAATGGCCCTGAGCCAAGTCTCGTGTCCACTGAAAGTGATTGCCGTTAGAAATTTCCTGATAACGGTGGGCTTTTTTTCTAATTTCGTGCGTTACGTTATGGCATACTAAATTCATCGAAAGATGCGATCTTGAAATTTTTCTGTTAGCTAATTGGCGTATGTCTGAATTTTTGAATTTCGATTGCTTCGTTATTTAGTGTCAATTTTTACCAAGTCTCTCAACTGCTGATCTTGTGTGAAAGCTTGCGAATTTGGTTTCCAAGATGTGATTTTTAATTTTATTTTTTAAAATATTTGTGGAACTTGGAACTGAGGATTCTTATGACTTGTTGCGTTTATTCTGATGTATCAACCATATAGGCTTCTCAAGTTTCTGTTATGTGGCTGTGGCCTGTGGTTACAATGCTTACGCTATTCTTGCTCATGGATTTGTACATTCCTGAGACAAATGCAACATAGCCGATTGGTACACAAACATTTTCTCTCTTTTAATCTTCATTTTCGGAGAATGTTAAACTGTCTCATATCCTCTAATGTTGACGCAGCAGAAGACCCAGTGGTTCACTGGCAAGCTTTGTAGACACCTGAGTTTAGAGTGAAAAAGTCTTCCCTGCTGGTAATAATGCTTAACTCATCTAATTGTCGTTATAAACTGCTAGTTTCAATAAGGAATCATGACTGTTTCCTATTTGGTTCATGGTAGTTCTCCATTCTCCTTCAAATAGGGAAATCATTGTAGTTGCTTTTTTTTTTTGTTATTGGCTTTATGTCGAAATTCTCTTAAAGCCAATTCAACAGTTCACTACTAAAAATAAAACATTCACTAATTATAGCTTTACTTGAGCAGAACCAGAGATAATAAGAAATCTAGCCACACATATAAACAACTCATCCTTCATGCTCTTTCTTCAACCACAAGCATCCCAACAATCTCGGTTCGTTTCTTCTTATCATTTTCTTCCTCATTCTTCTCTCTCTTCTCTCTCCCCCAACGAAGGAGGGATGGAGATAACAAAGGAACCAAATATACCTCTGTGTCCTGTCTTAGTTTCTTCTTCTTCTTTTTCCAGGCCCTTCATGGCTCTTCTCTTGACCCTTCTCCTCTTCCTAACCGGCCTAGCTTCATCGGTTGCCATCGGTGGTGGCCCAACCGCTGGTTTCAAACCGGCAGATGACATTCTCATTGATTGTGGAGCCAAGTCGTCATCCAAAACCCCTGAAGGTCGAGTCTTTAAGAGTGACTCAGAGACGGTTCAGTATATAGAATCCAAAGACGACATTCAAGTCTCTGCCCCTCCTTCTGATAAACTCCCTTCTCCCATTTACCTAACCGCGAGGATCTTCCGTGAAGAAGCCATTTACAAGTTCCATTTGACCCGACCCGGTTGGCATTGGGTTCGTCTCCATTTCTTCGCCTTCCCCAACGACAAGTTCGATCTCCAACAAGCAACTTTCTCTGTTTTAACAGAGAAATACGTCTTGCTCCATAGCTTCAAGCTGAGCACACACAACAACAATGATAACCAAGCCGTTGTTTTGAAGGAGTACCTCGTCAACATGACGGATGCTCAATTCTCCCTCAGGTTCAAACCCATGAAAGAATCCGCCGCTTTCATCAACGCCATCGAAGTCGTCTCAGCTCCAGACGAGCTCATCTCTGATCAAGCCACTTCCCTTTTCCCTGTCAACGGTTTCTCCGGTCTGTCTGATTACGCGTACCAACCGGTTTACAGGGTTAATGTCGGTGGTCCTCTGATCACGCCTCAGAACGACACACTAGGAAGAACCTGGACATGTGACAAATCATACTTGAAAGATGAGAATCTTGCTAAAGACGTCAAAACAAACCCTTCAACGATCAAGTATCCTCCTGGAGTTACACCGCTGATTGCTCCTCAGACGGTTTATGCAACAGCTGCAGAGATGGCTGATTCTCATACCATTGATCCTAACTTCAATGTCACGTGGAGCTTCCCATCAAACCCATCGTTTCACTACCTTATCCGTCTTCATTTCTGTGACATCGTCAGCAAATCACTCAACGACCTCTACTTCAACGTTTACGTCAACGGCAAGACTGCTATTTCAGGGCTGGATTTGTCCACTTTAGCTGGAGATCTCTCTGCTCCTTACTACAAAGACATTGTGGTGAACTCGACCCTTATGAAATCCGAGCTTCAGGTCCAGATTGGTCCCTTGGGAGAAGACACTGGCACCAAAAACGCCATCTTGAATGGAGTCGAGGTTCTGAAGATGAGCAACTCTGTGAACAGTCTTGATGGAGAGTTTGGAGTTGATGGCAGAACCACTGGCATGGGGAAGCACGGTATGGTCGCAACCGCAGGGTTTGTGATGATGTTTGGTGCTTTCATTGGCCTTGGAGCTATGGTTTACAAGTGGAAGAAGAGGCCACAAGATTGGCAGAAGAGGAACAGTTTCTCTTCTTGGTTGCTTCCGATACACGCAGGTGACAGTACCTTCATGACAAGCAAAGGTGGTTCTCAAAAATCCAACTTGTACAACTCCACGCTTGGCCTCGGAAGGAATTTCTCCTTTTCAGAGCTTCAAGAAGTCACAAAGAACTTTGACGCATCAGAGATCATCGGTGTCGGTGGATTCGGAAACGTTTACATCGGAACCATCGACGACGGAACTCAAGTCGCTATCAAACGAGGGAATCCACAGTCGGAGCAAGGGATCACTGAGTTTCATACAGAGATTCAAATGCTGTCTAAGCTCAGACATAGACACTTGGTCTCCTTGATTGGATACTGCGACGAGAACTCAGAGATGATCCTCGTCTACGAATACATGTCCAATGGCCCTTTCAGAGACCATCTCTACGGCAAAAACCTTTCTCCTCTGACATGGAAACAACGGCTCGAGATATGCATTGGAGCTGCACGTGGGCTTCACTATTTACACACAGGAACAGCTCAGGGCATCATCCATCGTGACGTCAAATCGACGAACATTCTCCTTGATGAAGCTTTGGTTGCTAAAGTCGCTGACTTTGGTCTCTCCAAAGACGTTGCCTTTGGACAAAACTATGTAAGTACGGCCGTGAAAGGTAGTTTCGGGTATTTAGACCCCGAATACTTCAGAAGACAACAACTTACAGACAAATCCGATGTTTACTCCTTCGGTGTCGTTCTTCTAGAAGCTTTGTGTGCAAGACCAGCCATTAATCCTCAGCTTCCTAGGGAACAGGTTAACTTGGCTGAATGGGCTATGCAGTGGAAACAAAAAGGGTTGCTCGAAAAGATCATTGATCCTCATCTCGTTGGCACTGTCAATCCTGAATCCATGAAAAAGTTTGCAGAGGCTGCAGAGAAGTGTTTAGCGGAATACGGTGTTGATAGACCAACAATGGGAGATGTGTTGTGGAACTTAGAATATGCTCTTCAGCTTCAAGAAGCCTTTTCTCAGGGAAAAGTTGAGGCCGAGGAGGTTGAATCCGATAAGCCCGTGGCTGCTGCTACTACTGCGGTGGCGGCTCCACCTGTCACAGCCACCACCACCGCCGCAGCAGCAAGTGAACGTCCGGTTTCTCAGAGTGAAGGCAAGGATGACTCGGCCGTGGACGAACACTCTGGAACCGCCATGTTTACTCAGTTTGCTAATCTCAACGGAAGATAAAGTGTCACAAGACTTTGCACCAAACGAATCTGTCAAACACGGTGTGGTGATGAGTTAGAAGAAAAGAAGGTTATCGGATTTGTTGTATAATTTGTCTTTAATATTTTTTGTTCTTTCGGTTTGATGTTTTTATTTTTTTGTCAGTTTTGCTTTTTGGGTGTTTGAAATGTATATTTATGGTGGTGTGGATAATGCATGTGTAACTAAATACTCCTATGCATTTATCTACTCATCCTCCAATGTTGTAGGTTGTTGATACTTAGGTTACACAATACAGATTTTCAAGTTGATGATATTATGTGTATGTTTTTTTTGGTCGAATAAAATTCCTCCTCTAATGATTTTACTTTTACTTAACATGTGTGTGACCACAAATCATATATGAACTGAAAAGTACGTTGAGACTTCTTCCAAACGAAAACTGTAGAATTTGGTAACGAGAATTAAGATACAAGGGAGCTCTTACAGTTAGTAAAAAAGTGAATCTCTGAAAGCAAAGATTGCTTTCTTTTGAGTTCTTGAGCTCCTCCTCCTCCAAAGAACCACTGTCTTAGTAAAATATCTAACAATCTGAGTAATTTCTTCCCCATCAAAGAATCCCTAATTCATACTCATAATTCTCATGACTCAAGAAAGTTAGAAATAGGTTAAAAAAAGAAAAGGACTGCTTTAGAGATCAGAGCTTAAAAAGAGAGAGAGAGGCCTATTCAACTCTTTTCTTCTTCTTGCTCACCATCATGGGATTTTCAATCTCCACGAGATCATCATCCTCTTCACTCTCGACGTTCTCTGCTTCTTTCTTATGATTCTCGGGCTTTGTCTCGGAGAGTCTTCTCTTCTTAGTAACAATCTCGGGTCCAGAGGAACTGTCTGTGGCATCAATGGCGTTCTCATTGTTTGATGTTGATGCGCTCTCACCGTTGGTAGCTGGAGATTGTGTCCATCCAGAGAGAACCATTCCTTCAGGTTCTTTTTCCTCGTCAAATTCTTCCCTGTGACACAACAGAACAAGCAGAGGAAGCATAAATCGTTTGACAAGGAAGACGAAAGCTTTCGTGATTTGATGACTTGGAAATGTTCAGGATTCTGATATTGAAACAGGATTCCAAAGGTAAAAGAAAAAAACCTGTGCTTGATATTAATCTTGCAAGATAGCTCTTGTTGAAGATCTTCCACAGTGAGAATGCTTCCATTGACAACGGGAGAAGGAAGTTCTGATAAATGCTGAAACAGAAACACCAACATATGTGAGAAATTGCGAAATCCCAGCCCGTGTTTGAAGAGCAGTTCGTAGAAGAACCGAGACCGAACCTTCTCAAGATTAGCATTGTAGTTTGCAACCATAATATCATCCAGATCATCACCAACTTCATAAAGAAGTGATGCCCCGTGCATAATTAATGGTAGGTTCATTCCAAGCTTGGCTTTGACAATTTTATCAACTAGATCCCGTAGTTTCGATTTCTGAGTATTGATCTCAAGTACTAAAGGGGTCTGTCAATATAAAACGAGAAAACCTGATAATTGGGTAATGCAAGAAAAAAAATGAGAAAGAAGGCTAAACAAAAGTAATGTTAATACCTTGGAACAGACATAGCAAGAAGGGTTAGGTTCAAATGGCTGAACTGGCATAAGAAGCAGCTTTCTGCTTGGGTGTTCTAAGCAATATGTCATTCTACAGAGAGACATTGGTAAAAAAATTATATAAATGAGATGTGACGCTTATGAAATACCGTGAAATAAGATTTCAAAGTAACAAACCTGTACTTGTCCACATCCTTTTTCAGCACTTTAATTGCTTCGATAACAATCAAACCAGCAACAATGGCGTTAGTCGTAGCAACGGCATGAACAATGTTCCCAGCGATACCTTTGGCTTCAAAAAGACTGTGCAAAGGAATTCCAAAAGACTCAGCACGGATATTTGCAGCAGCAGTGACAAATTCTACAGCTAACTGATCATCTTTGTCAAAAGTAAGGTGTCCTATCTCCTGTGGCAGCATATAGACAAAACCATGAATTGATCAGTACACCGGAATTTATATATACGGAATTCACAGAAAGGACTACACAGACCTTCTTTCTCTTGGCGAAGAACAGCTTCAATGCTTCTATGAACACTAGAGAATTCTGAGTTAGACCCCACAATTCCTGTGGATTTTTCAGGCCAAGAGACGGCATGACAGAGATCATCGAATCACCATCAGTAACAGAACTATTCTGACTGCTTCCATTCTGTTGAGTCAGGCTTTCAGGCAAGACTTCCTTACTGTATATAGGCCTTGGTCGTCTACGATTTTTCCACGTCTCCTCATTGGACAAAGCCGTTTCAATGTTATAACCAAACACATGATCATATATCTTTCTACCATACTGCTCAATATCTTCATCTTCTGCACGTTCAAATACATCTTCTGTTTCTTTGGATGAGCTTGCAGAGTTGTTGGATCGCACGTTAAGATCATTATCCTGATTCTTGTCGCCAAACAACTTCGCAAAGAGCAGGTCTTTTGCCCATACGATACAGTGCACAAACTGTTAACCAATCCAAAATTCATTGGCACATCAATATCAAGCACTACGTCTTAGACTAAGACTATTCCAGATATAAAACTATTGTTCCAGGATTCACAAAAATTAGACCGAACAATACAATGTTAATACCTTAGTTGGAGTGCTGGTTATTGTACACACAGGATATGTCTTTGGAGCAGGTTTGGTTTGGCACTCATAGCATTCTGTCTTTCCCTTTACGTGCACAGTTACCTGATTCGAACATACAGACAAGTATTACAATGTCAGATAGATAAAAACACTATCAGTTAGACCGTTCAAGCAAAGCATTATAGTACATCTAACTCATAGAGTTTGCTTGGAAAAATAATAACCGCAAGACCAGAGGACACACCTGTCCTAAGAAGCCTGTTGTCCCGCTTTCTACAAGAGGAACATCAGCTGCAAGACAGAGGCGATTCACATGACGCCTTGCGTCCAAATTATCCAGTCCATTTAGTATAACATCAAATTGCTTGAAAAAATCAGCATCGAACTCGGGATTCTTCACATTTGCATGGTATGATCTTATATTAATGTGAGGCCTGAATCTCAAGACTGCATCCCTAGCAACCTGATGATATTGTAAAAATTTATTAACTCCTACGAACTGAAATTCCTTGGACTTAGCTCAAGCAAAATTACCTTAGCCTTGGACTGGCCAACATGTGAACGCCGGAATAAAAATTGCCTATTCAGGTTACTGACTTCAATTGTGTCCATGTCAATCTGTAACACAAGGGAGTAATTAGCTTAAACAGCACATGATAAAAGCTAGTCTTATAAATCACTTCTCTACTCGTTTTCGTAACTAAAACTCCAGAGAACCAGAAGTAAAACCCGAATTAACACTAAGTTAGTCATGAATCTAAAAAATCCCAAACTATGCATTGCCAATCCAGAGTGTTTGAAGTAACACTAAACCTATCGGCGAAGGCAGCTAAACACAGAGTCCTCCTGGAGAAATATTTAGAAATCTTTCTGGTGTTCAGTAGAGCTCGATGTAATCTCATGAACCATACAAATTAAGAAGCTCACAGATGTAAAAATTGTCAAATTATTAACTTTGAAAGCCCTAAACCCCAAATTAAATCATGAAGCACAGTGGGAGATTCTAAAGGATTGAACTTTGGACTGTAACTCAAATCTCAGAAAATAAAAAGGAAAAAAATCACAAATTTGTATGAATACTAAAGTTCACGAAACCGAAAGAGGAAAAACAATTTGAAGAACTTACAATATGAATGTCTTCGAAACCAGAAAGAGCAAGAGTCTTCAGTAACTCGCAGCCAATCCCACCAGCTCCAACCATAAGCACTTTCGCGGCCTAAAACACAACACGGGAAAATTCAAAAGACTTGGATAGAAAAACACCCCCGAAAATTAGTAGCTTTAAGAGTATCATCAGAGCTTACTTTAAGGGCGGATTGTTGATGCTGCGTATCCATGGAGGAGATGTGACAGGACGGAGCAATACGCTAAGCGACGGTTCAGAGCAGAAGACGAAGCTATGTGGGATTGGAAAAATGAAAGCTTTTTCGGGCTAAATGTTAAGAGAATCGAAATGAATTAGTAGTAGTAACAGAGCGAGAGTAGCGAATTATGATTCCTAGGGTTTTGATGTGGAGGGATTTGGGAAATTTGGAAGAAGGAGAAGTGACGGAGGAAAGAGAGGGCTTTTGGAGAAAAAAAAAAAAAAGGCTCACGTGGGCTTTTGTGTAAACTTATAAATTTCCTCTTCCGAATTTTATTAGTGTAGTTGACTTAAAATTACCGTATCAATTAGTATATGTTTCTCCGTATAATTTGTCGTTACAACTTCTTCGACAAAAATTTAGTAATTTGTTTGGTCGGACCCAATTCAGTGAATCATAATAATCCGTGATATAAACGTTGTTGTTTGGTTTATAACTTTCACTATATAAACCAAGAGTTTAGTTGTCTTTATCAAGCTATTTAATACTCCAGTATATTGGTTTAAAATCGAGTTTTTATAAGCATTAATCTTATATATAATTAAAGAATTTTTTCTTCTCTTAGAGTCTCCACATCAGCATAGAAAGAAAACTAAAATTATTGACTCAATTAATTCATACATTATAATATTATTATAATTTAAAAATAAAAGAAAAGTACTAATACTAAAGATAATGACTTAATTAATTCACATATTATTTATAATAATTATTTGTTATCAAGAAAAAGTAGAGTAAAAGCTGAAAAAAATAAGAAGAAGAAGTAGTTAAAAAAAAAAATGATGAAAATGAAACTCAAGACAATGAAAAAGAATGAGAAAAAAAGAGGAAGAAGAAAAAAAATCAAAATATAAAGAAAAACAGGTAGATAAAGATGAAATAGAAGATGAAGTAAAAATAAGAGAAGAACAAAATCAGAAGAAGAAAAAAAAGATAAAGAAAAAAACAAGTCGAAGAAGAGGAAGATGAAAATGAAGAAAAAAAGATAAAGAAGAAGAGGAAAAAAAACATAAAACTGATGAAGAGGAATTTCAGAAAATATAAAAACAAAAAAGTTGAAAAAAAAAATAATAAAATAAATAACTATTTTTGTGATTCGAAAATAAAAATAACAAACTATGTTAATATGATGATAGAGAAAAAGTATAATAAAATGAAGAAAAATAAGAAAACAAATATGATGAATTAGCTGTTTAAAAATAAAGTATGATGAAAGTCTAAACACACAAAATTTAACATTAAAAATATATTTAAAATATGCATTTAATATATATATATATATATATTCATAATCAG